TCTTATAATGTCACTTTTTGTCCTTTGTCGCGAGCTATGTTGTTTGCTTTTTTTGGTGTAGGTTGTGGTGAGAATAGGGAGCATGTGTTGATGGGGTTTTGGGAGCGAAGTGGGTGGTGTGGAGGATGTTCGAGAAGGGAGACCTTGTAAAGATGGAAGATTTCTTGATTAAGAGAATGTACGTCAACGAGGTTGGTTCATTGATGATGGCTCAGAAAATCTTCCCATGTAAATTGTGTTGACTGACTACTATGGACTAGATAGGGTGCGTTGCGAGCGAGTGATATGAGAGATGTAGGTCGGTTCTCGTTGACGTCTTTCCAACTGCAATGCTTTTGCGGCTTTCTCATTGGACACAGCTCCCCAAGAACAAAAAGAAAGAAGCCCACGCGATTGCTACGTGTACAACCACTACGATGCCGGAGTGGCCACAAGCGCGGCAACAACGCCGCCATCCTTGAGCACAAGCTCCACCAAGCTCACCACCGCCTTCAGATTCTCCTCGTACAGCGCTCCCTTACTCATCATGCTCTGCGTCCTCAGCGGCGGCGGAGCCTTCTTCATCAGATCCAGCGGCAGCTTCAGGAGCAAGTCATTATACAGCGAACACGGCTTTTTCTCCTCGGCCACTCGGTCGTTCGCGCTCAGCGCCATCCTGCGCATCATTTCCCCACGCACGAGATCCAGTACGTCCACCAGGATGACGAGGTCGCCGCCGATCTGCCTGTCCTTCCTCTTGAGCTCGTTGAGCAGCTGCAGCGTCTTGCGCGCCGTCGTCAGCTGCGTGATCAGCGTCTCGTTGGCGCTGCCCTCCTTGACGCCCGCCTTGGCTGATATGATTAGCAGGTCCACGTAGTTCATGAGGCCGCTGGGGTCGTGCATGAGCGCCGTCGCCTTCAGCCGGTCGTTGAGGTCGGCCAGGTTGAGCATGTCCTGGCGCAGAATCGCCTGCGCGCTCAGGTACCTGTCCAGGAGCCCGATCAGGGCGCCCTCCTGCATGTTGTTGGCCTCGTTCCACTTGTCGATCAGCTCCTGCGGCGTGATGTACCTGGTCTTCGCCTCAGCGAAGATGATGAATTTGGCCTTGTGATGCTTGGTCCGGTTGCATTTGTTCGGACACATGGTACATTCTCCGTTGTTCATGGACGCACAATAGTATGTGTTGTCATCGTTCGAGCAGTCGCAGAGTTCGTGGCAGGTGTAGTTGCAAATCGTACAGAGAGTGGCGTGCTTCCCCGACGGGATATCTCTCGTGGACGTCTCGATGTACTTGTGGGCGATCTGCTGGTTGGGTGCGGCTTCGATGGTGAGGGCGAGGCTTTTCAGCTGGGCAATGATCAACTGCGCATCATTGGCAGTCTTCATGATCTTGCCCTCGGCAAGCTGGCATTTCTCTTCAAGCTGCATTCGCTTCTTGGTCACCTCGGCGCTGCCTGCTGTTGGCACAGGTGTCATCTTGAGGAGCATTTCCTGCAACCGGAACTGTCCCTTGATTGAGTCGATCCACTGGCTTCTGATATTCCTGTCAACCTCGCGACCTTGTAGATCGAGCCCGAAAGCTGAGTTGTTGACTTGAACCTCGCCGTTCTCGACCGGCCACTGAAGTTCTTCGAGGGTGTCGTGAGCAGGGACCTTGCCGTCATCGCTGAAGGTGTATAGCGTGCGGAGGCATTTGCGGACGTCTTTTGCGAACAGAGAGAAGACATAGGTGGTGACAGGGCTGAGGATCGTTGTGCGCATCTCGTTGGCCTTGCAGACAAAGATGACGCTGTTGACATGACTGACCGTGCCAAAGAACTCGGACATGGCTGCGGTGACGAAGGCATCGCCCTCAACACCTCGGGAGCCTCCGTAGCCAGGCGTGTCGACAATCATCAGCGTCTTGTTTTCAAAGACAGGCGCAAACGGTCGGATGCGGAAGCAAGTGACCAGCTGCGTAACCGATGCGGACTGTTTGAATTTGCGATCGTCGATGAGAAGAACGCGAGCTGGGTCGTCCACCCCACCGCCGAGGAGGTAGGACACAAATGCATTGATTTGCGTGCTCTTGCCAGCTCCGCTAGGGCCGATGAAGACGGCGACAATGGTTTCGTTGATTTTTTCGAGCGCCGGAAACTGGATCTCTGGCTTGTACTCGGTGGCGACATCGACTATGCGCACTGCAACCTCGTCTTGGAAACCCTTGACGTTGGTCTTCCGCTCGAGGCATTCCGTGTAGCCGAGGAAAAGCGCATTCCTGTCTTTGTCAAAATCCCACGGCTTGCTGCTGTTCGAAGTCGGCGTAGCAGTGAGCTTGGCCTTATTGCTGAAGAAGAAATCAAGCATGTTGCCGGGTTCAGTCATGTGTCTCTGGGTGCGCTCGACAGCCTTGGGGCTCCAAGGCGATGAGCCCACGCAGGTCTGCACGCTCAGCTCGACTTGGTAGTCGCAATCGTCGGACAGGTCCTCGAGTTCGATTGTGTCGTCGGTCGCAGGGCATCTGACGTCTCGGAACAACTCGTTCTTCCCAGCCCGAGGGAACGGGCCGTCTCTCTTGGAATTAAGAACCCGGCGATACCGAAGAGCAAAGCCAGTTGTCGGGATCGCAGTCTCTTCTTCCGCCGCACGGTTTGAAGACCACTTCACAGTCAGCGTCTGATCTTTGACGGTGAGTGTCGGCCGAGATGGCGCCTTGGGGAGCATGCCTGTGACTATTGAGAGGACGCCGTCCTTCTGCAGGATCACGTCACCAATGTTGGTCTTTGCCTTCTTGCCACCGCGCGTCGCTACGGCGATGCTCGCAACCCCAAAAGAAACATCGACACCGGGGATCGCCATCTTGCGCTGTTCGCGTATGTCATTGCACGATTTTGCCAGGTTGGCTCGCGTTTGTGAGTTCTCGAACCATTCCTCGACCGGGAGATCGGCATCGTCGCCGGAGTCCAGGTTATCGAGAGAAGCCGACGCGAGACTTGTCTGGAGCGGATGCGTGGGTACACCAATGGCACCGCCTCCAATGGACAGCAACAGGCGGGGGGGCGCAGCGTCGACCAGGCTTCCGCTCTTGAGTCCTCCCAGATGATCCTCGAACTTGTCGGCCAACAAGGCAGCAACTGTCTCGCGAAGAATGCGGGCTTCATCTTGTTTGGCGGTGACGAATTGCTGGGCAATCTCAGTGCGCCGTGAATGAAGGCCAACGACCCTCTCCAGCTCGGCAATCTTCTTATTAGCATCCGTGTTGCCATCCCGCAGCTCTGGCAACAACTGTCGAACTTGCGACGTGAAGTTGGTCTCAGCCGCCGCAAATTCGTTATGGAAGTTTGAGATCTGCTTTCGGATGGAGGGGAAGGTCTTCTGGAACACTTCATCCGCTGCAATCTCCTTCAGCGACAACGTAGCCTCGTTTCCTGCATTGAGAGCTTCAGCAGTCTTGGTGATGAGGCCGGTATCGATGCTGCGGATTAGCTTGTTCGCCTTGCTGTCGAGGAGGGAGAGCGGCAGCAGCTTGTACTTGAGCGTATTCATCTGCGTCATGAGCTTTGAGGGCATCTCCTTGGCAACTCGTTGGGCGTCTTCGAGGCTGGCGACATTCTCCGCCATGGCGCCGCTGTACGAAATCTTGACGTTTTCCATGAGCTTCTCGGACCCCTCCTTGAACTCGACTTTGGCACTTCCGCTGACGGGGATCGAGACGACCTTGATCTTGAGCTTGCCTGTAATCTCTTTGGCTTCTTCTTCCGACGAGCAGGAACGAGCAAAGGTGAGCGTTGCGCTCGCGCCCTCAACCACTTCGGAGACAAAGTGGGTGTAGAAAGGACTATCGAGCTGCTTCTCGTACGTCATCTTGGAAAGAACCTCCATGGGAATGCGGCGTGTTCTGCGCTCAATGGTGCAAGACACATTGAGTCGTGCCTCGTGCTTGCTGGACTTCTTCTCGCTCAGATACTTTGCTGATCCTTCGGCGCTGAAAGCTTTGAGATCCAGAGCCAACGATCCCTCAATACTGAGCGAGTTGTCGTTTCGGGCCTCGTCGAGCGAGTATGTGAACCGATAATCGGCGCTTTGGACCTTCTTGTCGTCGACAGCCTGTGTGGCATTCACTTCCGAGTCTTTCCAAAGCGAAATGCCGCTAAAGAACTGCTGGCTGCGAACGTCGTACAGCATCCCGAGCTGGATATTCTGCCCGAGAGCTGGCTGAAGAGCGAATACCTCAAACTCTTTGGCACTGCTGTTGATTGCATCCATCGTGTCTGGTTCTATTCTTGGTCAGCGGAGGTAGGTGTGGAGTCGAAGGGACATACAAACTGACTTAGCAAGATGAGAAGTGATGGTGATGAGAGAGAAACCCGTCGATATGGCTCAATCGATCCTGAGTGAAGTGAAAAGATCAAATTCTGAGGATATTCGGGAAGAAACATCGACTTGAAAGGTCAAAACCCCATGATACCGGATGGTCCCTGACCCTGCCACCATCCAAGCGACTATCGAGTCAGCTCCGATGCTCCAACCAGGCAAGGTGCTTCTTCTCTTGCAGATATTGTATGATATTGAAGCCTTGGTTCATTCATGTCTTGCCCAAATAGAACGCATGTGGCAAGCTGAGCAACGGCCGCCCTAACCAAAAGAGATCTTCCACACTGAATAGCTCAGCCAGGTGTGCATCCATGGCTGTATCCATGCTGGTCTGGAAGCTAGAGAACTTCCGTTGAAGAAGTGGCGTGAGAGTCCCTACTTTCCACAGAAGCCACGGGCAATGAATCGCTCCTGAGCCGAAGATACATGTGGGTCTTGGAAGAGTAAGGCATCCGGTCATGATGGAGGAGAGTGCGCCGCGGGTCTAGATTTGCGGAGACCTGCATCATTCAGCTCGCTGCCCACATGCTCATTGGAGGCAAGAAGCCAATGGCGTCAGATAGCGCCAATGCAGGCTTCTTCCTCATCAACCACAAGACATAACACGGCAACAAGCCTACGAATTGGCCCCCTGGCACGCAAACTAGTCAGTCAGCCTCCGAGCAGCTGAACTCACCGTGCTGGTAACAACCTAGCGGCGGCGGTGGCTGCAACCAGCAGGAACGGCCGCAGAGTAAAATGCGCATAGGGTAGCGGGGACGAGACAATGATGTTCTGGGCTCGAAACCTAGGCGCTGCAACAATTGAGTCAACATGCTTGGTAGTGATGGTACGTTTGTTGTAAGCGTACGACATATCGGCCCAAAAAAAAAAAAGAAGTGATGATTTTTAGGTAGATTGGTTGTTGTGGTTAAAAAGAAGAAGTACAGGAATCCCAGCGAAATTCAGTTTGCAGCTTTTATCCACCCAGTACACGGACCGCACCTTCTAATCGGTTCTCGTTAGCATCTTTCCTCGTGCAATGCTGTTGCGACTCTCCCATTTTACACAGCTCTCCAAGAACGAAAAAAAAGCAACCCATGCTATAACTACGTGCAAAAAGGATTGGTTAGATGGAACAAAAACTGAACAAACGGTGAAAGGATTAATAGATTAGGTAGAAAATGCAAAAGATGACTGCAATCAGTCATAGAAAAAGATGAAAAAGAATGGGGCCACCCGGGGATTGAACCCGGGACCTCTCGCAAGAATGCTCAGGATTGAACCCTAAGCGAGAATCATACCACTAGACCAGCGGCCCTTGTAATTGGATGTTTAAAAGCACTAAGTTTTGAGCTCATAATGTGCATTTGACCAGGTGTAGTTACCAGCACAATCGGTCACACATCGCAGCAGGAACATGCAACAACCAGACTCATCCACCGATGACAGTGGACGTACCGTCAGAATTGTAAGGTTAATTCAAACTTTGGTAATACCCAACTAGACTACCTCACTAATCCATATCACACAAATTGCCCCCATCCTCATCCACCCTTCTATTGACCTCATCATCAACGTCCTCATAGGCACCTCCGGCGGGCCTAGCACCCCCAGCCAGTCGGGCCACTGAGTTCCCAGAGACACTCCTACTCGAATGGCCAGTCACAACTGAGCTTATGTTCGGGTCAGTTTCATTCCCATGACGCCGCAGCGGCCCCGAGACTCTCCGTGCCCCATCTCCGGCCGGTCGATCACCAGCGGGCCGGAGCATGGAGTTCCCGGAAACACTACGGTTAGCCATCAATGAGCTCAGCTCCCGGTTCGTCTCATTTTTACGACGCCGGAGTGCCTCTGAGACTCTCTGTGCCTCAGGCATTCCCTCATTACCATCACTAGCATCTTCATCCCATTCCTTTGCTACCATTTCTTCCAACATGGTCGTTGCCGCTTTGACTTTTCCCAAGGCATCAATGCCAGTGTACCTTTTCCTTGCCCTCTCCATCATCTCTCTCTCTTCCTTACTTTTTTCTTTATACCTCTTTTCCCTGTCTTCCTTCGTCCTGTGATTCCACTTTGCCAATTGTTCCTCTTCCTCCTTTTCCTCCTTTTCTTCTTTTTCTTTTTCCTCCCCCTTTCCCTGTTCCTCCTGCGCCACCACCGTCTTCTCCCTCTCATCATCCAGCGTCAAGTTCTCTAATCCCTCATCCACCCATCCCAGCCCACTCTCACGCACCACTTCCACACCCCGCTCCACCTCCACACCTTGCGTACTCCTCGCCCTCTCACGAGCATCCAGCACCGCATTCAAATGCAACAGCTCGTTCGCATCCATCCCACTCCCACTCCCCCTTCCATGTCCAGTCTCAACCACCCCCTCCCGAATCGAGCCCAAATTACTAACTCTCCTCCTCGCCCTCTCCTCTTTTTCCCTCTCCTGTTCCAACTCCCTCCTCCTCTTCTCTTTCTCTTTCTGCTCCCTCCTTTTCTCTCTCTGCAAATTATCCTCCATCTCTTTCCGATGCTTGGCACACCTTCCTGTGTGGGCAATCTGCGTGTAGCTGGCTGCGGGCAGCTCGACGGGACAGAGTTCGGGTTCGCCGGTGCGGTGGAGGTTGCGCTCGCGGGCGACGGGGCAGAAGAAGAGGTTGTTCTGGGAGATTTCGGATTCGCGGGGGCAGTTGGGCTCGATGCAGTTGCGGCGGCCGACGCGGCAGCAGCCGCAGGGGAGTTGTTGCATTGATGGAGTGTGTGGTGGTGGACTTACTAGTTGAGTGATGGGCGGGGGGTTGGTAGAAAGTTGTAAATGTGATAAGGCTAACGAGTGACATTTTGATCAGATTAAATAGCGGTATTGGTTTCCATCCCTGTGCTGTTTTCCTGTGATGATCTGATGGTGAGATGATTCCTGAAAACAAAACTCCAAATAACAAACCAGTGACGATGCCCTACAATGTTTTTTCAAACCTGCCCATTACCATCACCGCAAACTCAAGTCAATGTTCCGCCAGCAGACCTTACCCAAGCATCATCATCCCCATCACCAGAAGTTCAAGTTGACGTTCAGCATTTTCAGGTCGTCGAGGGCAGAATCGTTCGCTAAATCGTCCCATTCGTCATCATGTGTCATGCTGTCTTCCTCGTAATTCGTCCCCTTATCCTCAGTACCGACCTCATCTTCATCTTCATCCCCCTTCTTCCTATCCACGTAGGCTACCTCCTCCAAATCCTGCTCCACCTCGGCAGGCGGCAAGTCCTCATTCGGCGGCAACTTGACACTCTCCGGATCGACCTTTCCCGGCGTTCCATCCAGCGTCGTGTTTTTCCTAGGTATTCACAATTGTCAGCATCAACGACAAGGAAACGAAGAAAAAAACAACAGGCAACACTCACAAACAAACATCCTCACTTCCCTCCACCTCCCCCCTCACCAACTCCTCCCACATCCCCTCACACTCCTTAATCACCCCAACCGCATACTCCCTCCCTTTCCACTCCCCGCCCAACGCAAACCTATTCTTCTTCCTCCCCTCCGGAACCCCATACCACGTGAACCAATCCCTCGTCGCCTCCAACAACCCCGGACACTCCCTCTCCACATCCTTTACATCATCCACCTTTTGGGCAAGCTTATCCCTCACATCCACCACCAACACCTTCCAATCCATCTCCCCCGCATCCACCAGTCCCAAAACCCCCAGCACCTTCACCTGCTTCACCTCCCCCGTGTACGCCACGCGCGTACCAATCTCACACGCATCAATCGGGTCGTTATCCCCCCTTGCGCCCTCCGCCGCGTCCGCGTCTGGACCCTTGTAGTGCGGCGACTCCCACGTCTGCGGCAGACAGCCGTAGTTCCAGAGATATCCCTTGTAAGGAAACAGGTTAGGCACGAACCGGGGTTGGTTGGGATGGGCGGATAAAACGTCTTGGACGATGGGGTTCAGAGGTAAAGAGCGCGAGATTTCGAATTTGGCTTGGGACCAGCGGGGGATTTCGACGATCATGTTGTAGATTTCTTGGTGGCGGGAGTGGAAGAGGGGGATGTCGTGGAAGGGGGAGATGGGGATGGTTTTTGGATGCTTTCCGTCGTCGTTGTTGTCATCGGAGGAGGAGGAGGAGGAGGAGGAGGAGGAGGAGGAGGAGGAGGAGGAGGAGGAAGAGGAGGATGTGCGGAGGAAATAAATTTTGTGGGAGAGGGTGTAGGGACGGCCGGATTTGGAGAGGGTGTATTTGATTTTGGTGTCGTTGTCACTGTCGTGGTCGGAGTGGTTGTCGCTGTTGTGGTGATTACCACCGTGGTGATGTTGGGGGAAGGACGCCATGTTGTTTTGGTGAGCCACTCAAACTGCCGGGGGTTGTTGCATGTTTGGTTTTGTTTACATTGAGATGACATGAAGGGAAGAGTGGAGAGGGGGGCGGTTAAGGTTAGGTAAGACTGAGGTCGAAAAAAGGTTGTGAGCTGGTCCCTGTTTGGTTACGTCATAGTCTTGTTTCACTGCGAATTAGTGATTACAGCGGTTTAGGATTGGCCAATGGCTGCTATTTGTTAGGTGCCCTATCAGGACCCTCAGACACGGTTCACGATGCAACTCTTTCTCAACCATCACTCATTCATGAATGTCCCTTCTCGATCAAATTAGACGATATTCATGTGAAACTTTGGAACCGAACCCACTTCCCTTTGTCCATTCAGATTATGTAGCTTTGCGACTGCCAGTCTTCGCTTGTGGCTTAATGAAGTGGAGTGGCTGACACGCCCGAATCAATACGAGCTCTCCGAGACTGTCACATATCCTCGTTTCATCAAAACATCATCTTATCCCCCGACACTTATTGGATCTTCCGCGCATCAATTCAACGTGATAACTAGTGGAATAGGACATTGCACTACTGAACGATATCCGGACCACTTGTTCATAAATGTTCCCCGAGACCTGAAATCTCTAATGGAAACAACGACGGAACATGTTTCAGACAACGCAATGAAGTAGGGACATGGTACGATGTGATGGATATGTCTATTCAGCCTAACTCCTATCAAATGCGCATAGCTTCGACTAGTCGACAGTGTACTCTCCAACATTCATATCACCCATCATCATCAGTCCTTGCCCTGTCTCTCCCATGCCCCCTTTCCTTGAAGGGATCTGTAAAAGTTTCGAACCGCAACCTCTTCTATCGCACTGTCTGCTATGATATCATGGTCGTCTCTTTACTGTCGACCCCTTTGTTGCGCTCGTAATGATCGAAGACGGGTTCTGTTGGGGATTAGCATCCGAACAAGCTGGAATACGATATTACTTACCCGTGAATGACTTCCAGCCACTGGAATGTAGGAATTGGCGCTCGTCCCGTCCCAGGAGAACTCTTAACAGATTAAGAATCAGGACGACGACGACGAGAGTCTAGCAGTTATCTCACCATTGCACCTCAGGATAGAGGTGTAAGGCCCGTGACTTGGAACTCCGGACGTCCCTTCAATCATCTGTAGCACATGTGGCGGAATACGACTGAGAGATGCTTGTGTGGATTGGGGTGGCGATGGGCTAGACATGTCGAATGGTATTTTCGGTTCTTGTTTTGTTTGAGTGGCTGCGGTGATGAGAAAGCGGCGGAGATCCCAGGGCTCTGATCACTGATGTCGGCTTGTCTGATTGCTTTTTTTCGGCATCAGGAAAATCGTTTCAGTTTATATATGCCAGCAGTGTTCACGAGGATACCACAAGGTACTACTGAATGCCATGACGGCTCTGCGGCATTGTGAGCCGGAGAACGGATGAGGATACGGCATTTCCTGCTTCGGCATTTTTTGAAAACCATGGCAGAGAGGACAACTCAACCACCAACGGGCCATGTGAGCGATGATCCCTTCGGTGTGGTTAGAAATCGGCCCATTGGGTTGTCTGTTTCAAGTATTTTTTCTCCTAGTTGACCGCGACGTCGATCAGACTGATACAGGGCAGCAGTGTTGGAGTGTCGGCTACATGGACAAGATAACGGTCCAACACGATATCCCACGAAGCTAGCGTTTCGAAAAGGTACACCTATATATAACGGAAAGGGATCCCTAAACGCTGGTTATGGTAGTCGTGTGTCCGGGTTCATCTACGGGAGTGAAGAGCTGGTGGTGAACATGCGAACCAGAGGACGCCTTGGACGGTGTTGGACCACTGGAAGTCTCCCCAGATTCCGTGGCATGAACTCGCGAGGCAGATTTACGGATGAACTATTCTGGATGTCATCAATCCAATGCGGCTCCGTTAGATCCAGAGCATTCTATGAACGCACCGAATTATTGGAAGGTCAAGAAAATAAAAATTGTCGTCCGTTGCTGACGTAGGTGGTATTGGAGGGAAGAAGATGGACGGTCAAGGGTCCCGTTAGATCGGCTTCAGGGTCCTACTTGGATCTCACTTCAGGGGGGCGCTAGTCCCCTAAAAGCTTCGCGATGGCACGCTACATGTCAGCATAAAGCGTCCTGCAAAAGGGACTGATTGGGTGGATTTGAGGCTTATCGGGCCGGCAGCACCCGAAAAGGGTCTTCCTGTAGTCCCCGTGACCCTGGCATTCCAGGCTGCAATTGGCGATCCCAGGGCTTTCGTCGAAGGCACCCGCAGTTGGGCTGTCCGAGTTCCTCACAATCAAGGAAGTGATGAGAAAAGTCGAACCATTTTGTTATGGCGTAGATGGAAACCACAGCCTTTCTTCACCTGAAAATGCGGTGTCATTTCTGCATTACCCATGGACTGACGGATGCGATTTCCATGTTGTCGCCAGTCCTCGAATTGGACGCGGCTGGCTCCAAGTTCAGAAGAAGCCGCAAGTACAGGTGACAGTGCCATAGGCACCCTAAAGTGGAAGGTACCTATACTGGATTTGAGGATGACGTGCCTTGGTTGGATCATCATCGCGACATTGCTGAGAAGAGAGAACTGATGGGGAAGGCAGGCCAGAGTCAGCACAGACGGGGAAAATGGCCTGTGACTCCATCTTGACACAGCGAGAGCCAAGGCGCCCAAGGGAAAAGATGAAGGCGATGAGAGCTGTCGTCGGCATCCCTCACTCCTTCCAATTACATGCTCCGTCCGCCCCTTCAATTCTATCCCTCAGTTCCACTCCTTCCCTCTCGAAATCTGCACCTTGGCGATTCGGCAGAGTTTTCAAGAGTGCGTCATCACCGAAATGGGAACCGGAAGGTGCTCGACGCCAACTCTTTACATCTGTGGAAGGAACGCCTGCCACGAGGGGTTTTGACCATGAGGGGAGAGAGAGTGGAAGTCTCGAGGTAAAAAAAAAAAAAAAGACCAGTGGGATCTCACTTGTCATGTTGGTAGATCGAATCCTGGTTTGTTCGTTCATCTGCGGTGACGCCGTGAGACTGAGTGATATCTTCTGTTCTTGAAGGCATTGTCCAATATCGCCCCAAAACTACCCTATCAAACCCATGATCGAAGAACCGATTACCAGACACAAACCAGCTTGCTATGTACTTCACCACCAACCCACGTCCTTCAATCCCCATCATGCCTCAGAGCGAGAGGGACAGGACGAATCAATGGGCTCGATAGCCTTACTCTTTTCATTGGTCCACAACTAGTCGCTACTGCGCCAACAATACTACCTTCACTCAGCCCCTCTCCTGTTTGTGTGACATCTTCGTGGTTCGCGCGGGTGGCTGTCCTCTCTTTCACTCAAACCTTCTACACTCACACACCATCTCATCGCGTTTATTCTCACCACGATGGAGCCAGTCGGGTTCGCCGTCGGCGTCATCGGACTGGCAGGTGTATTCAAGAGTTGTGTTGAGCTTTTTGGCTATTTCTCTACCTACCGTTCCTACGGCCACGACTACAATACTTTGGACACCAAGCTTCATGTTGAGAAAGCTGTCTTACTGCAATGGGCAGACCGCGTGCGTCTGCTTCACGAAGACTATGATCGACGGCTCGACAACCCTACCATCCGAGAAGCTGTATCCCACATACTCTCCAGCATCACACACCTTCTAAGTGAAACTTCCTCCCTTCAACAGCGCTATGGTGTGGAGCAAAGGGATGGACCCCATTCACAACTACTCGTATCTCAGAGTTCGGCAATTGTGTCATCTCTCATGGAAAAGTTCAAGAATGACTACAATGCCATGCAACTTCGAATCCACCATCGAAAAGTCACCACGCCAGTATCGGACAAGTTGAGGTGGATGATCGTGGACAAGGACAAATTCAACACCCTGATCGCGGAGCTATCTCATTTCACTTCCAAACTGGATGCTCTTCTCCCCGGAGATTCCTCTGAGCGGACCGTCTCTTTATTGGCCTCATTGATCAGGAACGAGGTGTTGTCCGTTTACAAGGAGAATGCCAAGCTGCTCCCTCAACAAGCAGCCGACGGCCGCCTGGAAGGAAATGACATACTGCAAGAGGCCCGAGACCAAGATAGAGCCTTGAAGAGCCTATGGTTTCGCTGCATGGATGACAGGAAGGACAGCGTTTCACCTGCCCACGTCAAGACCCTTCAGTGGGCGCTAAAACCCGCTTGCGAGAGAGAAGGATGCGAAGCAGAGTGGGACGATCTGTCTGAATGGCTTCGATCGGGGACAGGTGTATACTGGATTTGCGGTAAAGCGGGAAGCGGCAAGTCTACGCTGATGAAATATCTCCATGACAATCCTGACACGAGGGCGCCATTGCAAGCTTGGGCAGGCGACTTGCCACTCACAGTCGGTTCCTTCTTTTTCTGGGGGCTTGGAACGCAAGAACAGAAGTCTCTCGAGGGACTTTCTCGAGCAATCCTGTATCGGCTTCTGGAGGCTGAATCCTCCTATTTACCCTCGGCTCTGCCGCGGCTATGGCAGGAAGTCCGGGTCAACGCTCATAAAGAGCCTGACCCACCTTCAAGTGGAGAGCTGAGAGCTGCATCCGAGTTTATGACGAAGAAATTTCAGCCCAAACACCGATTCTGCTTGTTCATCGACGGACTAGACGAGTTTCAAGGGAACTTCCACGACGCGATCAAGTTGATCAGGGGTCTCTGCTCCAACCCAGCAATCAAAGTCATCGTCTCCAGCCGGCCTATAGCGATCTGTTACAATGCCTTCTCCTGCGTGCCCCAGCTTCACATGGAGAGTCTCACGAGCAATGATATCAAGGAGTACATAGACGATGTCATTGGGTCACACGATTACATGGAAGTTCTTGTGGATTCTGGCGAACAATCACCAGACATCATTACACACAAGCTCATTGAAAAGGCTTCGGGTGTTTTTTTGTGGGTTATATTGGCTTGCCGATCGATTCTAGATGGGTTTGCGGCTTCTGACACTGTTGCAGAGCTGTGCCAACGGGTCGATGACCTTCCGCCGGAGCTGGAGGACCTCTTTGTGCACATGCTCAATAGCGTCGACCGTCGTTACCACGAACAGATGGCGAAGACCTTGAAAATACTTTACACACAAGTAGCATCGACGTATTCCAGCGAAGGATTGGAGACCATCAAACTCGCTTCTTTCGACAGGAACGGCATGGACTGTGCATCGAATCATCCACTCGAAAACTTTCCGGTACATGAAGCCCCCAAGATTTGTTCCGCAATGGTGGCAAGATTGCGAAGTCGTTGCGGCGGCCTTTTACAGGTAGAACCTCGATTTGACTGGGGTAAACAGTCCCGAAGCGACGCTGACTCCAACCTTGATATTTGTTGGTGCCCATCAAGGGAAACATGTCCCTGGATCGAGCAGGAGGACCACAACTCGTCGTTACTCACACACAAGTCTGGGGGTTTTCCGGAGCATTCCAACATCGATTTCATACATCGGACTGTCTTCGAATTTTTGGATAACCCAAAGGTCTGGGATCTGGCTCCGCTACGGATATCAGATCCTGCCTTCAGTGTGGCTTGCGCACTAGCGGGCATGGAATTGCAGCTGTCTTATCTGTATTGCCAAAACGGCGCTCGTTTAAGCGGGTCATTCAAAGAGCTACTCGCGATTGATCATGAACCGCTCGAAAGCGTTCTTCCGGTTCTGGCAAAACTTGCGGACTGTTTGAGTCTGACGATTCCACGGGAACACTACGCAACCAACGAAGCAGCATTACAATCATGCTTCTCCCGGTTTCTGGATCCAGCCTATAATCGGTCATCACTTCAATTGTCACTCCTGTTGGCAGTAGAGGCAGGCTTGGTAAACACTGTCGGTCGTCTGCTTCAAGCCGTCAGGCTGCGACCGCCGAGTGCACCATTTTCCCCGTTTCCTCTACTTTACCATGCACTTATCTTACCCTTTTTGTATGATTACGACCATCTGGGGCTCGTAATATTACGCCCGCTTCATGAGCTCCTAGAGTACTTGCTGTCGCAAGACTTCTCCCCGAACGAAGTTTTTGTGAATGAGCGGGGACTGTCCACCACACCCTGGAGAGAACTCGTCTTGAAGGGGCAGAGACACTTCGAAAGTTTTCATGCTGATAGTGCACTCTTCATGGTAATGATTACTTTTAAGGCTATGAAGCCGTTAGTTGAGCACGGAGCAGAGCTGGACAATGTCCTCCCAGGGATCCCAATTATGGAAAAATTCTTGGACGACGCATTCGCTCGTTTTCGCATAGGTGAGATTGGCCAATCACATTTCCGACCGACAGCGGGCTATGGATTAGCAAAAGTGCAATGCGTAATAACCCTACTGATAAATTGCAGATCGCTATAGAAAAGCTGAGCATAATAAGAGGAATCTAGAGGTCAAGGATAGCCTCATGGCAGCCATAGCAAACCGGAGAAGGTACGGCATGATCCGAACATCCAACAATCTTTACAGAATCACTAACAATTCGCTCATTGGGCTTATCCAGGGTCATGGCGGCTGAAGCGCTTGCATCATCGACAGCTTCGAAACAGATCAAGGAAACGGACACCGAGCTTGACGATAGCCTCGGCGCCCAAATCGACGAGAAGTTGGACAGCAACAGCAACAAGGCTGACACTGAGAGTAGCCCCAAGCTCGATATAGGCCGCAAAGTCCACCTCAAACCCTTACAAGAACATATGTGGTGGCTTTTGCTATTTGCCATACTAGCTCTGAGTATACACATGAAGCCTGGCTTGCTGAGCCACGCGGGATCATAGAGATAGCTTCAAGATTTGGATGGATGGATGATATTAGGGAATTTTGTGGGTAGACGACTTGATGACCAGCAATGTGCAATTTAACATGATTCAAGACAATACCAGTTTGTTTGTTAGTTTGGTTCTTCTGATGAGGTAGACAGAACAGGGGTACGATAAGGGTAACCTAGAGCTCTATTGACCTATGGAAGAGAATAACTCGTCTCCGTTTGTAGAGTGTTGACAATGATTAAGGCTCTCAATGGTATAAATATATATCCCCCGTCTTTCTTCGGAACGTTAAAATCGGAAGTCATAATATCTATATATGAAGATCTCCGCAAGTTTCCCAAGTCTAGTATGATCTAGCTCTTCTATTCCAAAACAACCAACAAACAAGGGCTATTTGATACAAAATTGATCTGTTAGTTAGCTTGATTCTTCAATCTTGGTTCAAGTAAAGGGTAGGTATCTAGCATATCCATTGGCCTTCCTCAGGGACGAAAACCTGGTGTTCGTTGAAGCGACGGACAACGAAGGCCTAAGACGGCCACGAAAGCCTCTTTTCCTCAGACCTCTACCCAATCTGTTTCGAAATCCTTAATACTGAAGAATACAAAAAGAGGGTACTCCTTACGGCATTCATCCGCTACAGAAGCCCAAATACCTTTTCCATTTTTATTGAAAATGTGCGTCTTTTGTTGTACCAAACTTTCAAACAAAACAAATAAATAAACAAACCGAAGCTGGATTGTGTCTTGATTGAGTAGAAGTCGTCAAATCCGGCACTATTACAACACAATCATTGATCAAAACCATGTTATAATGAAGGGTCCATGGATTCGTTCCATGTCTTTCTAAAGTCCAACAATGAATGCTATGCCAACATGTACAGTTAACACCAAAACGCCAGCCGCCAACAAGTAAAACCTATCCATAACCTTTTTTTGACGCTTCAAATGCTCATCATTTAATGCCCTACAACCCCAAACCAGACATCATACTATTCCAACAAAACCACACACCCACCCATTCAAGTAAACCAACACCTACGTCGCCCCATTCAATCTTTCCTCCCCATTGATTTCCCCCTCCCCATCAATTTCCCCCTCCCCCATTTCCACATCCGGATCCACCTCGGTCCCCAAATCCCTCTCCTCCAAAAACTTTCTCCCCACCAACTCCCCCGGCAAATACTCCTGCCTCACCCTCCCATTCCTATAATTCGGGGGGTACTTATACTCGGCGCCGTACCCCATCTCCTTCATCAACCTCGTCGGCGCATTCCGTAAATGCAAGGGGACAGGCAACGCCGCCACGCCCGGTTCCCTGAGCGCCGAAAACGCATTATTCAGCCCTCTGTATGCCCTCGTCGATTTGGGCGCCAAACAAAGCGCTACGGTGCAATGCGCCAAGGGAATACGCGCCTCGGGCATGCCGATTTGTTGGGTGGCGGTGTAGGTGGCGGTTGCGAGAGGCAAGAGGGAGTTGTCGGCGAGACCGACGTCTTCGGAGGCGATGACGACGAGACGACGAGCAATGAAGAGGGGGTCTTCGCCTGATTGGAGCATGCGCGCTAGGTAGTACAGACTGGCGTCGGGGTCGGAGCCGCGGATGGATTTGTGGAAGGCGGAGATGGTGTCGTAGTGTTGGTCGGAGGCGCGGTCGTAGACGAGAGTTTTGGTTAGGGAGGCTTTGATGGATTCTTTGGTAAGGGGTTGGTTGTCTGAGGGGGGTGAAGTGGTGGTGAGGGATAGAGCGAGTTCGAGGAGGTTGAGCGCGGTGCGAGCGTCGCCGTCGGCAAAGGCGCAGAGGTAGGAAAGTAGTTCGTCGTCTATTAGTGGTGATAAAGGGAGGTGTTGGTCGGTTATTTCCTGTTTGAGGGCTCGTAGCAGGATGCGCTGGAGGTCGTCGCGAGATAGAGGTTGGAGAGTAAAAGTCCGGCATCGAGAGAGCAAGGCGGGTACGACTTTGAAGGAGGGGTTTTCCGTGGTGGCGCCGATGAGCGTGATGGTGCCTGCTTCGACGGGTTTGAGGAATATGTCTTGTTGCGCCTTGGTGAAGCGGTGGATCTCGTCGCAGAAGATGATGGTGCGGCGACCTGTGAGGTGCAGCTCGTTGGCCGCTTCCCCGAAATACTTCTTGCACTCGGCGACACCTGAGCTGGTCGCGTTCAGCTCGATGAAGCGGCTACCTGTTCGTTGGGCGATGCAGCGCGCTATCGTCGTCTTGCCGGTTCCCGAACCGCCCCAGAGGATCATGGACGGGACTCGGTCGGTTTCGATCAGCGCGCGCAAGACGCCGTTGGGCCCGACTAGGTCTTGGCCGAAGACGTCGTCGAGAGAGCCAGGGCGCATGCGCTCGGCCAGGGGAGCGGATCGGTTGTTCGGTTTTGTGCGTTTCACTAGCGGTTGAATCGGTGGGCTGGGTTGTGCTTCTCTTCCTCCTGTTCCTACTCCCCCTTCTCCAGGAGTTACGTTTTGTTGTGGTGTCTCTGCGCTCCCATCTCCTCCGTTCCTATTCCTCGCCGCGTCTATCGAAGGCGAATCCAACCCCGGTCCCTCATCAAACCTCCTCTTCGTCCCCGTCCTCGGTTTTTGCGCAGCAGTCGAAGCAGCAGCACTTCCATGGACTGGTAGGGGTGTCGAAGCAATGGGTATCTTTGACACCGCCAGTCGTTTGGCAGGAGTCTGGAAGAAGTCGGCGGCACTTCGTTTCTTTTGGGTTGAACTTGGTGGTAGGTTTCCGTTCTGGGTACTCTGTTGTCCACTACTTTGTGGTTCAGCTTGGGTAGTGGCACTCTCGGCGGCTGTCTCGAGGAATGACTGGCAGCCGGAATCAATGTGGCTGTTGATTTTGTCGAGGCCCTTGACGGCCTGGTTACATATCGGACAAGTGACCGCCATGGCGTCGCATGTGTCAGTGGGTAGGATGAAAGCAAGATTGAAGCAAAATCTGGTCTTCTCAATGTGTCTGAATGGTGGAATTTCAAAAGATGACCCGAGGAATAGCAAAAATGGGTTGTCGGATGGCGAAATTGGAGGTGACGGGAGACGCGTTTGTAAGGCGTAAATTGATTTTCGAACGCGTTAACAGCTGTTGTCCCTGCCGCTGCAGTGCTGGTGGGGAACTAGGTGTGTTGCGGATACTTGAAGCATGTGGGGTAGCTCCCGCTGGACCGTTGGCAAATTGACAGGTGCCCACATTTGAGCCGCACTAACAAAAGTCAGAAGTCATGATTAATCAGCCATCCAAAACCACAGCATGCGTCATAAGAGGGCATCGCAGAAAAAGGTACACAGTAGAATGCATGTAATCATGACAACCAGTTGGAAGCGAACATGGGATGAACCATTCTATGCAAGCAAGACATTCTTGAATATGATGACAAAGCCTCTCCAGTTCTCTCCCTTGTCTACTAAATGGTGATGTGACAAGAAGAATAGAGAAAAATTATACAACCACTACCAACAAGTAAAAGGCCCTTGACAGAGCCGTCCATATCTGAGTTTACCAGAACGGAAAAATAAGTAACAAGAACAATGAAGGGAATAATGCTCTCTACCCAAACGCCATTACCCATGCTTTCGCCGAAAGAAAACCCCCAAGCGCGCGAGCGCTAACAAATGACGCAAAAAGACTCTCAAAGCTCCATACACAACTCTTGGGTCCTTCGTTCTCGATGCGCCAAGGGGGCCACTGAAGTGAAGACTGTCCCGTAGCTCTCTTAAGAGTCGTGTCGTGTCACGCATGACTGACCGAGTGAAAGGCGCTTCGGCTTCCACGCCCGGCCCACCCCTAGCTTAACCGAGATTTAATCCCATTCATGTCCTTTATTTATACCATGAACGACTCTCCACAACCGCATTGCTCCTCTGTTTTTCCATTCGTTAGCCACCATCCCGTCCCAATTCCTTTCCGCAACACCGAGGGAGAAAAAAGGGAGATAAAAACTCACTAATATTGGGATTCCTGAAAACAAACCGCTGACTCAACTTATCCTCCACCCAGTCCATTTCACTGCCAATAATGCTGAAGAGTGCCTTGCTGTCAATCAAGACCTTGACGCCGTCTTGCTCCACCGTCTCGTCAAATGCCCCGGCCTTGTCCACGTACTCCAGGTGGTACGCCAGCCCGCTGCACCCCCGGTTGCGCACGCCGACTTTGATCAGCTTCGGTTCCGGCTGGTCCAGCATTGCGCGCAGGTGCTCGACGGCGGCGGACGTGAGGTTGATGGCGGCCTTGCGAGGGGCGCGCAGGCGGGAGGCGCGGGGGGCGGGCTTGGAGGGCGTTGGTTGCGTGGGGGCGGAGGAGGGTTGTGCTGCTGCGGCGGCGGCCTTGGATTGTTCTTGCTTGGGAGCAACGGGGGTGGGCTGAGAGGGGCTTGATGATGTAGATGGTGACGTTTGCGCAAAGTTGTTTAGTTGCTGCTGCTGCTGCTGCTTCGGTGGCGACGCAATCTTGTGAGGTCTTGTCTCGTGTACGCGCGGCATGGGCGGCTGGACGGGGAAAGCCATGGAGTCATTTCCGGAGCGCGGCGGCGATGGCGGGTGCGAGGGAAGAGTGTAGGACTGGAAAGCGGTGACGGCGGGCGACGGCGTCGTGCTGAATTGGTGGCGCTGGGCGTGAGCGACGGTGCGGTTGCTGTTGCAGAGGGCGGACGAGAGCGTCCTCCTCGAAAGAATCCTTTGCGCGTTCATCTTGAGTAGTAGTGGTGTTGTTGTTGTTGTGCTTGTTGTGTAATGTACAATCGCAGACGGGAAAGCCGGCGATAGTATGGCGGCGGTGGTGGAAGTGATATGATGTACGGCGGCGGAAGAAGAAGGAGAAAGGGGAATTGCAGAGGTCAGAATCATAGGGCTGTGACAAGGCCAGACTTTGGTGGTTAGGTCGTGTGTTGGGAAACAGCCGGGGCAATTCGGCTTTGTTCTTCCTCTGATGATTCAGTTGTGCTTGGCGGGAATTCGACAGTTGGGTGCGGGCCAAGTTCAACTGAAGTCAAGTCAGCCGAGCAAGCAAACTGAGCCGGTACGTATGACATGGTGATGGGATGGCAATCTTGGCCCTCGGAGCCGCCCGGTGACCGACCTGGCCAATCAGCATTCGCTCATTAGGAATCCCGCTGACATTCCGACTGTCTTGAACGATCCACATGCTTCGTAAGCCACGAGGGGTCCACTCATCATATGGGCTCCATCCATTCACACCCATCGGATTTGCCGTACCGACTTTTGGAACTCGCATCTCTCAGGCCATGCAGTGTCATTCCATCATGTCTTCCATTTTGCCCCAGACAAAAGGACCCTGATGGTCACTGCAGTGGCTCACAGCCCTGACAGGAAGGAACCTAAGGCAAGGGGTGTAAGCGGAAAGGGGGAGGAGGGCAACAAATGCGCCTTATCTGGTTGGTCGCCCTATCAACTTCCAGCCCTGGAATCAAGGGGGGATTGCTTCGAACCCCCTTGTTCGGAATGGACCCCTTTGTTTACTTTTCGTCTTCATTCGGTCAAGTCAGGGGCACGACAAGGACAGCTGGGTCCATCGTGCTCAGGGGCAATGACATCACCCCTCTCTATATACCCTACACGTAGGTCGGTGTGTCCCCTCCACAAAGTTGAAGTCTGGGGACAGCTCCCTGGAGAAGAAGACAAGTCTCCATCACGATGGTAGTACCATGTCCCACTCGCATCAGGCACAAGAGTATGTATGTTCTCGTCCGTTCAGTCCAGTCCATCTGATATTGGCCGATTGGATATTTGGGCTTCAAGCCATTAAGTAGTGTACATCATCCTCAAACACAATCTATCCCATACATCGCTAACAGAACAAAACAAAACAAACGCCTTTTTCCATCTCAGTCTCATTAGTGTAAAAACCAAACCATTTCCCTACTACTACCACATCCACATCATTCACTCCCCACCCACCAACGCCCTCACATCCCCCACCGCCTCCCTCGCCATCTTCTTCAACAACCCCCTCTCATCCGCCTCCCTAAATCTCTCCCAGCTATCCAGCCCCTCCTTAGCCTGAATGCTCAACGTCTCATACCCCTGCTTAATCACCTCGGCAACCTGCACGCTCGTCAACTTTTCCTTACTACTAGCCCCTGAAGCCAACATGTCCTTGTAGTGCGCCGACACATTCACCAACGTATCGATACCATTACTCTGTCTCTTCTTCAGCCCGTACACATCCCTGAACTTGACCAGCACATCGCCCATCTCGACAATCTTGTAAAACAGATCGTCGTAGGCTGCCGATGTCGGCAGGAACGATTCGCCTGACGAGAGACCGAGGGCGAGGGTGTTGACTACCAGATCCAAAAGCGTGTCGAGCTGGCCTTGTTGTCCACCTAGCAAAGTCTTGAGGTCCGAGGCGTAAGTGGTCAGGAAGCGGATCAAGGACAAAAGAGAGCGGAAGAGTTCGTGCCAGTGGTACTCGAGGCGGGAGCGGGAGCGGGACATGTAGCTGATAAGTCGGAGGAGGATGCCGACGCAGAGGGTGTACAGACCGACGTCGAGCCGGCGGCGGAGGTTGTGGTTGACGGCGTCAATCATGGTGTCAAGGACGGCGGTGGCGAGGACGCGGTCGCCGGCCACGTGGGGGAGGTAAGGGGAGCGTTGCCGGCAGAGACGGACGGGGTGCTTGTGCTCGGGCTCGGAGCTGCAGAGACGTTTGCACAGGACGGGGTCTTCGATTAGGAGGCGGATGATCATGAGGTTGAGGTGACTGTAAAGGGTGGTGCGTTGTGATAAGTGGGCGTGTTGGAGCATGTACGAGGTTATAGAGAGGAAGCTCGAGAAGGGTGGTTCGTCGCCTTTGGCAAGTGGTGGGAGGGTGACAAGGTTGTGGCAGAAGAGCTTATTTGCGTGAGTAAAGTCGTAGGTTGCTAGGAGGACGGCTGCTTCTTTGCCGGGCCTGTTCTTGTTAGTCCTTGTATCTCCTCAACCCCCCCTGGTGGATAGTGACTTACAGCGCCGAAAACATCCTCTTTTGGGTCTCCGCATCATACACGGGCTTCTTGTGTTTATTCAACCTCACCAACCCAATCATGCTCAGCGTGCCCGCTATCGACCATCCCTCCGGTAGATCCTCTTGTACCGCAACATACTGCCCTCGTAGCGTTAGACACGCCTCACCCACGGCTCTGATAATTTTCTGTATCGTTTGCTCATTGACAAAGTCGTTCAGCCGCATCTGGTACGGGTTTTGAAACTCGAACTTGTTGTAATTAGCAAGAAGTCCGACCAGCGTGAACGGCCGAACAATATCTTGTGTCGTCTCGGAGTCTTGTATAAGCTGTTGTTTCCGGTAGTCAGCCTTTTGCCCTCACTTCCCCATGACCTTCCTCCCATCCAAACGAACCCGAGCCGTTCAAAACTCACCTTCATCAAAGCAGGAAACATATCTCTCTGGATGAAATAACTCCCCAACCCTGTCCCCCACGCCCCCGCCGTAACCGCCATCGCCACCTCCACCGCCTTGCGCCGGACCTCTATACTCGTCGCGCCTGCATTTCCGCTGCCACCGCGCACAATTCCATCCAAAGCCCCTACAAACTCCCCAAAGACGTGGTCGACACTATCCAGTCCCGCAAGCACCTCGATAATGTCCGAGCTTGGATTCGTGTACTTCTTCCCTAGTATGCTGACAAGGAACACCGATAGCGTGTCAAGCGCGTTCGCTTGCTTGTTCTGACTCTGAGTCTGACTAGAGGCAGAGGCGGACGAGGAAGGCCTGGTGGGCTTGAGCGCGCTCACGGCGCGGGAGAAGAGCTGCTGGGTTTGCGCGGAGTAGAGATGAAGCAGGTCGGAGGCGGAAATGGGGTCGAGGATTTGGCGCAGGGAAGAGCGGGCGGGTTTGAGGATGAAGAACTCGGTCCAGAAACCTTCGGTTTGGGTGGGGGAGTGGTAGTGCGAGTCGAGGTCTTCGTCGTGGTCGTGGTCCTGTTGGTCAGTGGGCGAGAATAGGTCAGTATGTATGCGCGGGTCCGTATGAAAAGAATGCTGTTGCTAGTCTAGTCGCATTGCGCGCGCGCGATCAATGGGCGAGTCGGTTACGTCGGGCCAAACGGGATTCATGGAACCAGCGAGGCGGCGATCGCGATATGGCAACTATCGAGGGGCGCGGGCGCGCGGGGTATGTATGTGATGAAGCACGGAGAGGGAGAGGATTGACGAGGGTGATGTCAACTAACCTACAGCGCAGTTGACGTTAGCTTCTCCCTTCTCCAATTCTATTGCAGTATACCCGACGGCAGCAAGACATCAGAAGCTGACACACCTTGAATAGCTCCTGATAAAGCTGCACAATCTTGGCCTGGAACGCCTCCGGCCGAGGCTGTTGCGTAAGGGGGGATTGCTCCATCCCGGTCCGCTGCTTTGCGCTGTGCTGGCGTCGCGATAAATTCGTCGTCGTAGGGTAGGTAAATAGCGGTTCGTAATAGTGACACCTTAACCGTAGCGGAGTCGGGAATGCGCAAAGTCGGTGACAAGGTGAAGCAAGGAAAAGGGCCGGCCGAGTTTGGGTGGTTCGCGGGACGGAGCACGGAGGGAAGGATGACGATGATGATAAGCTGTTGTTTTAGCGAACGATAACTGAACACAGTGATGCTGCGCGCGGCGTCCCTGCTCTAGCTGCCCTGGTCGTTCCGGCAGCGGCAATGCCTAAGATTGAGAATCTCAGCTCCATCCCTGGCGTGCAGTGACAAAGGTGGGTCACCCGTCCATGGAACCTGATCGACTGGATGCCTTCAGTTTTGGGTTCCCACAGTACACTACCTATAAACACTGTGCCTCGCAGCCTGGGCGGCCCTGGCTCCATTTTTCCAATAGGGCTGAATAGTAAGTAGCTTCAGTTCCGATCCCGTTTTCAAAACACACCCAACCCGACGGCTCCAGTTTGGCACTACTTCTAGGAACAGCTTGATGGGTTGGCCTTGCTTCCTCGCTTATTTAATTCAAGGGCCGTTCCGTCTGCCGTCCGCACGTGGTTAAATTAGCTTGGTGACATCTGTTGACTTATGGCTCAAGACGACATGACTCGGTTACCAGAAATAAGGGACGACAGTGATTTTGAGACTTGAGGCGGCGTGATTTCTGGTCCATGTTAAAATTATTGTACTAGTTTCGTGATTCTTCGAATAAGGAATATTGCTTCACAATCCCTTGTTGTTGACCCGTTACTTTCCCCTCCGACTTTATCTGTGGTGTTAGCCTAGAAGCTCCCCATGTGTTGCTTTGCTTCGTTTTGTGTACTATTTCTATCGTCCTCGGGCATCGTCAAATTCAGTAAGACGAATCGCTTAAATCAACAACGGAGCCAGACTCCAAGCTCAAAGCACACAACAGAACAACTCATCCCAGTACGTCATGGCCATCATATACAGTCTACTTTCGTGCGTTGTCCCATTACCAATCCCACTCAAAACATACTGCGACCCTCAGGAAGGGATACTAGTCATAAGTCGTACTCATCAAGAATAACAGTCAAAGGCGGTTAATGTTGTGCCCGTCGTGCAAATGCTTTTGTGTCGGAACAGTAATCATGTTGCCGCTAACAATAGGGAATGTTGTCCCGTCGAATACCATACCAAGCAAGAATTAATAAAGGACGCCCTGGAACAATGACAAAATAAGCTTTGATCGCGACGCTAAAAAATGCAACCCAAGAAAAGTGATCGTCGTGGTGATGTACCGCTAGTGTAGGCACACCTCGAGTCTCCACTCCGCACGTCATCTTTTCCATCTTGAACGTTCGACTCGTCCAACAGAGGAACGAAAAGCCATGACGCAAAACAAAACAGTAGAGGCAATAGCCAGAAGACCTTATAGTCCCCAACTACCTCTTCTTTCTCGTACGCCCCAAGCCAGCGGACTGATGGCATCCAGGTCGGGGTGCTGCCTCGCCCACTCATAAATGTACTTTTTGAGCGCCTTCCACCGAGGACACCTATTCTCCTCGGGAGTATCGTCCTTCTCTTCGCTATCGAGCATAATGTGGCCGGTAGCCTTGGCCGTACCGCCGGGAGTGACTCTAGCATCCCCATTGGTCCTCCTGTCATCGCCACCCCAGAGATTCTCCATAATCGCGTAGTCGTCCCGTCCTAGTTCTTCGACGGGAATCCGACTGATCTTGCCAAGTTCCTCGTCGTATTGTCTTGCTAATGCGGGATACCCAAGTGAAAGGTAGTTGTACACTTGTGTGACAAAATGGTCGTCAAACTCTGCGGCAATTTTCTCTTCTAGATCGGCAGCCGCCTTCTCTTTCTTTAGTCTCTCTTCAAGACCTTGCAAAGGAAGCATGTGGAGGCCCTTGCGCTCGTTGTTCTTGGTGCGATGCTCGGGATGTGACCAAGGGGGGATTTGGAGAGATGTGTTCCTCGTAAAACCATCAGACGGGGTTCCTTCTGCGCTCAGCTCGGGTGGTGTCGATTGCCCAAAGGCTTGCGCGAAGGGGTCACGAGGTGAATGTGAAGGATAAGGGGTGCTAAGATACTGTGGTCGCTCAGCCGGGATGATATGCTCGTCCTTATCATGAGCAAAGCAGTATCCACGCCAGAGACCCCGCTGCTCACTGGGGTCCCGGTTCTCATCCTCTTTTGTTGTTTCCTTCTCCAGATCCCATAAATGGTCTGGTTCCAGCTTGGTGTGTTTGGGGGACTGGCACATCCTGAATACCAAGTCCTGGCCGAGCATCGGAGGTGAAGCCTTCACCCGTTGTCGGTGCTGATTCCTCGCACGTTCCAATGACATGTCTCGCTCGGGCTCGGCATACGGCTGGAAGGCATATCCATGGCTTCCAAACGCAGTATCTGGGGGTATCTGAGCTGGGGAGGCATAAGGCATATCTGCAGCCTTCCCCAAAGGCGCCGACGGTATGTATGGCATGAAACTCTCGCCTATTGGGCGACGAGGGGGCGACTCGGGTGGGATGTACGGCATGGCGGATTCACCAATGACAGGTAGAGGTGACTCAGACCGCATCAGTGGCATGTGAGATTCACCAATCGGGCCCCGGTTGGCAGGTGATGGTCGTGATGCCCAGAGAGGGGAACCGGTGAGAGGTGACCTAGGGGCAGAGGTCAGGTTCATCACATCGTTGAGTGGCTCGTCAAAGCTCATATTGTCCAACTCGAGGGTCGAGACTCTTTCTGGCTCAAAATCACGTTTGGCCTCATTTTGCAGCATCTCGGCATGTTCCTGCATCTCTTTGAAGGCCCAACTGATGTCTTCCTCGGACGAGTTCCGACGCGAAAGATAAGTAGCCCATGGACCTCTCGTGAGGGGTCGTCCTCTCGTGGCCATCTCGTCGTCCTCCGAGCCTTCGCGAACGTAAAAGTGTTCAGCGCCACCTATGCGCTCACTACTGTTCGGGAAGGCACTCATGGCCATCTCTTGCATTTTCTGAGCCTGGGCATCCCGGGCCACCAGGTCGAAGAAACCATCGGCAATCTCATCGTCACACGATTCTCGACGGGAATGGCCCTTTTTCCTCTGGGCAGGGGGTGTAGGTGATGCTATCGATGTTCCCTGCCCGAGCCTCCTCTTAGCCTTGGCCTTGGGCGCATAAATGTGGTTCGTGTAGGGAGTAATGTCTGTTTTATCGGTGGGTTTGGTGGCAGGGCCTTCATCGCCAACGCGGCGGGATCTTCGTACGGAGGATTCGACTAGCTGAGGAGCGAACCTTCGTTTCTCGCGGGGTGGCGGTGATGGTGAGCGCGGCGACGGACTAGGTGTAAGTTCGCCATTTGGCATTGCTTTCCGGTAGCGCTCAAAGGTGGTCTCGACGGGTATGGGCGTGAACTTTCGTCTGGGCCGTTCTCGGGAGGTTGCCATTGTGTCGCTTCAGAGATCGGATGAAAAGGAAACAAGACGATACGGCCGAGCTTGTAAGCTCTGCGACGGCTCGTATGTCGCAAGGGGGCACGAACGGTGCGGTTGCGATTTTATGGTTGTGTATTTAACTGGGAGGGCGCCGAAATCGCAGTCTGTTGGTGCAGAGATTTTGAGTCCAACTGCGGAGGTAGCGGGAGGTACGGCGGGCTGCTGCTGGTTGGGGGAGTGTTATCTTTTGTTGGCCCCCTCTCTTTGCGGATGGCGTCGGCAATGGTGGGATTAATGGTGGTTTTGGTAAATTGATATGGGTGTGGTGGGTGCCGCAGCGCGCTGATAGAGGAGCGATGCAACCAATTCCCCCGGTGGTGGCGTGTGCCTGGAGGTTGTGGAGGTGATGGTGATACTTGTTGCTTAGCCGGGGATGGGGTCGGGGGTTTGTGTCCACGGATGAGACAATGAGGAGCGCACGAGGTCGGGAATCGTCAAAGAAGTCAGTCCAGCGTCGATCGGACAGCGGTGCGGCGGCGCTCGAGACAAAGGGCGGCTTTTGTACGTCTGTCCAAAAAAACAAAAACAAAAACAAAAAAAAAAGGAAAAAGGGGTCGGCTGATGATGTGGTCGGATCTCGGGATGTCGTCCAGTTGTATCCCTGGTCACTTTAAGGTCAAGGCTGGAAAATAAATCTGGTAAGGGTTGACGAATGACGAGAAGGCGGTCACTGGATATGTACCTAGAGTGACGGGGGAAAAAAGTAATTATGGCAATGAACATCTGAGCTCTTACGGGATTTTGACGGGGAAGACCAGGTATTGCACCCGGCAGGACCGGGGTTGGTTCTCTGAAGATGGTGATTCACGGGGGAAGAGCAAACGGAAGGGCCCAGTTCGATTTCCAGGGACCAGCGAGTTGTGGGTTTCTGGTGGACTGCCTGGCTGCGTGAGCTGTGGAGAGTCGACTGGCCTGTCGCAAGATCGCTGTTCAGGGTCCGACTCTCGTGCACCGTATTTTTTAGGTGGTCATCATCCGTGGGAGCCGAGATCGCTTCACAGTTCCTCCACTTTGTTGTTCACGTTGTGCGACATTTGTCTGTAGTTCTCATGGAAGGAAAAGAACAGAAGAGAAGAGACGGCAACGACGATGGCCTTGTGAGACTCGAGATAAAGGTCCGCAATACTCTTCACTTATTCGTGTTGTGTAAGGCGCCACCTCATCCTATCTGTGTCGCAACCAAGGCAGTACAGATGGATGTCGGGTACAGTCGTGAATGCTGCAGACAGTCAAATATCGGCAGTCAGCCCAGCGCAATTGGAGGTGGAAATAACGAATACAAAGAACCTACGGGCGCCGCGGGATGGAGTTGGATGGCTGGCGTCCTTCAATGTCTCCCCACAGTACAAAGCGCAAAAGCTGGCTCCAAGCCTACCCCGCGTAACCGGCATAATCAGGCATGGTCAGGCCTGTTCCAGAAGGGCTTTAGGCCAAGGGAAGGCGGTCAATCGGCAGCGGATCTGAGCTCTGTCACAGTGTTTGATGAGAGACACACATGGCGGCTACTTTGACACAGTCAGATTCGCTGCACTCAGTCCGACCTACGTGAATCTTCTCAAGTGAGTGCCTGCCACTCATCCGTCGCCTCCACGCCTCCTGCTGTAGCCAGTGGTGATGCTCCTTCCAGCCGTCTTCTCCTGTGATCACCAAAACGTTATGCAGGGCAACAACGGCACCATGGTTTTTCAGGCGGGGACTGTCGTATCTTTACCGTATTATCCACGCTGACAGAGGGAAACGGCAAGGTTTCCGCTGCATTTGCGTCACATGTGGCTGCAACTTGTGATGGGTTTGTTGTCTTGACTTTGGCCTCACTCTGCAGGTCTCATTCCTGTCCCATCTCCTCGGCTTTTTAGGTCCAACGGGAACGTCGTGATTGACGGAATTTGTGTTTATGGTAGGTAGCGAATTGCATTCCTATTGATGAAGAATCCCGCACACTGGGCAGCAATCAGTGGGATTCCCGTTACCTCTACACTTCCAACTGTCACCGTGGCAGTGCCAGTTCGTAAACATCCCTCACGACGGAACCCAAAGTGGGAACTCGATTACCCTGCATCTCACCGACCCGACCTTACCATCCACATCACCACCCAACCGTAACATCGTGAAGAAGCACGTCAACCTCGAGAAAGGAAAACTTTTCTCTCCTGGACATTCCAGCCTTTCCTTAAAGCATCTTGGCGGCCTACGCTACGGTAGGTACTGGCGGTCTAGACCCTCTTAGCAGCTCGAGCTACCCCAGCAAAGCTTGATAACCCTGATGGCCAGCTCAGGTACCGACAAGGCCGCCTCAAGCGCCAGTTCCAAACGGGCAATGTGTCGTGATACCAGTGGGCACTTTTCCCGTCAAGTGACTCGGGCCATGGTCACATTGATTACGGCATCTGATGAGGTGATGCATTGGATCTTTCGCTTTTCTCAGAGCCCCCTTGCAGCCGCTTTGCTGTAGCCATGGCGATAGCGACTCAGGCGGGCTTCTCATCGTCTTTCAGGAGCTCATACTACTTCGCCTCAGGAAATGGGGAGATTTGTGAAAGTGAAACCTCCGAAGCCTCTTTTCACTTTCCGAGGCAATATGGACGTCTATCACCCACAATCACCTTCCACTATCACCGTCACGCCAAGGCCGTGGTGCTCGCTAATCTCTCGTTTCTGGAAGCCTATTGCAGCCCTATCGGTATCAGACAGCCACGGATTCGCCAACCACTGTCACATCGGGTGGGCCCGTTGGTTGATCAGAACGCCAATCTTTCGCTTTATCAGAAGCACCGTGGGTGGCAAGTCGTAAACAAAAACGGGTGGTAGTGTCCGAAACTCGCCGCTAACCACCGGTCTCAAAAAGTTATTCGCCCGTCATCTTTCACAAGCGTCGAATGACCGTTGAAGGAAGCCGAAAGTCCGGGGAAGGTCTAAGAGCGAGACAAGGGGAGTTTAAGGTATCTCTGGGGAAACACTGGCAAATCTTGGAGAGCGGCTCGTTTGTGCTACGCGGGGCTGGCGAGCTGCAATAAGAGACAATCACAAAAGCAGCTACAGTGTCGTGAATACTGGTAGTGAGCAAGGTCCCCCCAATGTCTGTTGGCCTCGTGGGGTGGGGGGGTTTTGAAAGGTCTCGGGAAAGCAGCCGGGATGCAGCGTCAACCACCAGACCTTTAACAGCCTCGTTTTCTCGCTTCAGATCGGGTCACCATGTGCTGGTGTGCCGGGAAACGCCCACTTTTTCTCACCGTATCTTAATTCCTTGTGTTTTTCTTTTTTAGGTATTCGACATTCATCAACGAACCGATCATTCCCATCACCTCATGACATCCCGCTACTGGGTGCCAAAGCAATGCACCCCCAATCCTTGGCTCTCCCGGGCTCAACTAAGCTTGGAAAATAATCTCCTGGCATCCCACCACCACCACCGGACGGCGACCGGACCAGCACCGGATGTCGGTCGAGTACCAGTGCAATGAACCACAAACACTACCTTCAAAAACTACCTACCGGATGTTGTGGTACGCAGTACGAGTGTCTACCATGCCTGTTGTATCTCGTTACCGACCGGGAAAGGGCTATCGTTGCACCAATTCCTAGACTCAGCGTACCTGTGTTTCATACAAGCCACACGCAGCATGAGATCCTCTCGTGATGTCCCCCACTCCTTCTCATTGGGCGGAAAACTAACCCATGGTTGGAATCAGCACCAATGGAAAGACTAATTGCTTTTAACACGGACCTTTTTTTGAACAGAAATCACCACTTTTTTCGCGAGTGACCGTGTTCTTAGACCTTTCTAGCAGACCGCTTTTCTTTTCTGGTTGTCAGGATAATACATGGTGAGACATGGAGGTAGTCAGGTCGCAAGACGCCGATGACATAGGACAGTATCCTGGTCCGAACCGGTCTCAGGTTCCTCGACACGGAAATAAGACGACAATGCCATGATCGGTACCCGTTTAGTCAGTTCAACCTCAGTTTACATTGGATTGAAGCTATTCTCCCTGGATATTTGCGACCCCATCTACTGGTCAAATCTGATACCATTCAGTTGCGCCGCTGCAGTTTATAAAACACTAAAAGGCACGCCTGATATCCTGTGTTCCACCTTTTGACTCTTGGTCCGTATCAGCTGCCCATCAACAACCATGACGTTTCTCAGCGTTCACCAACACTTGATCAATCGGGTAACGAATTCTTGTTCATTTTCCGTCGTACCGTCATCTCTCTCTCCCTTGGACACAGCACTTCCGCTCACTCACTCACTCGGTACCTCAATATTGTCTTTACTTCCAATCGAACCCTTTTGAAGTGTATACTTTTGTTTTGAGCTCTTTAAACATGACGGACAATTCGACGACCAGGCAAGCAAGCTAGCAAACACCCCCCGGCACTTCCTCAGCACTTCCCCAGATTCTCCCCAGATCTTGGCTCAATGCTAAGCTTTGTGGCTACAGTATGTGGGGTATCAGCATGGTGGATTCAAAGAGAGCGATCATCAATTATGTCAGTGTCGGTGATCCTTCATCCTCGAGCTGCTCAGGACGGAACTCCCCGAGGTGGAGCCTCTAGACTAGGTGTTAGTGTAGAGTCACACACACATTCCAAATCCGATGTGCATCGACCGGGTTGCGGGGTCGTCTGAAGGCAGATCGATGATCCCGAAGATCTGGTGAGTTTGAATGATAGTAAAGGAGGTTCTAGTCCGGGGCAGGGCTAGGCCGGGCTGGGTAAGAGGAGTTGGGCGAGTCTGGGCATTGCAGTCCAGTGATGAACTAAGCAATACTGCCACTTCTTTCGGGCTTTCCCAGGCATCAAATACTAGCATATTCTCGCGGCTTCGTGAAGCCCAAGGGTCACTGAAATGAGTTAGCGGCAAGCGATTCCCTGGAAAGAATCGCTGCCATATACGAGCCGTGAGCCGTGAACCTCAAGCTCCGAGCCCGGACCCCTCAACTTTTCGGTGCAACACTCCGATCTTTACTTCTGCGGCCACATGCAGCGCCTCCGACTTTGATGATCTTCTTCCGACTTCAAGAAGCGAGAGTCTCACGTCAGTTCCTAGGGGGTACGCTGTTCCACTGTTTCAAGTTGATGTCTCGCTAGGAACTTCCGTTACCGAGTACCATGTATAACATCCCGTCGGTGAGCGTCTGTGAGATTTCAAGTCGTTTCCCGACGTCACTGCACACTGGTTAGCGGTTACACGGGACACACCGAACTGTGCAGTGATTGTGAACGACTAATAATGATCCGTTACACGGCAGGTTTCTGGAAGGGGGATACTTGCCAGATTGGATCAGGTAGTCGGACATTTGGAGTTCCCAGGGAGCACTTTCCACTTTCCCATCTGGGTGGGTGGCCAGTTACATGTACCTGAGAATCAGACATTTGGCAGGTACGTCGGAGTCGCGCACCGCAGAGATACTTATACAGTACTTTCCTTCTTTGCGTTTGAGTGCTTCATCCGATATCGCTATCATGACATTCTGCCTCTGCGCCTTCGGGTGCTGGGTTGCGTCGGAAGAACGTAGCTTCATGAGAAGCATAAGTACCTACCTCAGGTTGCTACCATATCTTGACACTCACCTACCTCGCGGAATACTTGTGGCATGGAGGAGGCTCGTGGCCAGAATGTACGAGTCGCACCTCATTATTTCTGCCTTCTCGACGTGCAACAACAACAACAAAATAAAAATAAAAATAAAAAAAGGGGTACGGCAGTCGAGCTTGCTCGGTTTAGAGGTACGTGAACTCCATTGATCCAGGCCTGAGTATTCGAAAATCACTGGACCCAATGTGCGATCTGGGAAGGTAGCACATCTCCCTTACCTAACCCTGTCCCTTTGCGCCTACCTTTTCGCCTTGTACTGTTCTTGACTTCTGACCAAGCTGACGAGATCCACGAGCAGAATTGAAATAGGTTCGACAGACTTCAATAACTCGAGAGCTTCCAAGATAATATGGGCTGGTCGTTAAAGCATCCGAATCAATAAGGCTACCTCTATATCGTAAGTACTGTCGATGCGAGGCTTCTTTTGCTCTAACCACTACGCAGTCCAATGCTTGAGACATGGTACAATCAAGGAGCTTTGCATGATTTGGCGGCGATCGCGCTGATGCCCAAGCCCTTCAGGAAAGAACAATCCGAAGCAGACGACCAACCATGATCACAGCTCGTGACTTCATATGGGTAGAAGCGATCAGACTGGTAAGTGCAGTTGGGTTTAAAGAGCCATGGATGCCTAAGAAACAGCCTAACGCGTTCCTTCTCTTTCTCAGTTCATTGTTCGGAATTTTCCGTGTCCGCCTGGGCAGGAACGACCTACTGCTATGCCGGACCACCTCTTCAGCAACTTGGTAATTTCCATTGTTCTCAGCTCGGAGCTGAAATAACCGAAGTTCCTTTACTTGTGGACGGTTGTGAAGTAGGAGTCTCTTGCGTTACAGGTATCCAACCACTCGACAGCGCCGAACCGTTTACGGTAGAGGTACTCATGCGTTTATGGTGATAAGAAGGATACTCTAGCCACCATGCTAAACAACAAGGCGGTCCAGGTGACTAGGAAATCTTTCTACCGCTTAAGACACATAGAGCATGACCGTGGTCGGTGGGGTGTCCGCGTATACTGGGATGATGATGCTCTATATTGTTCATGGTTGTGATCCTGAATACGTCGGCATTTTCATTCCCGATATGAGCCTCAAGATGTGAACCACATCATTCTGCGTCCACATCTATCGCGGATGAACAAAAAAAGGGTAAACATGAGGATACAATACTTGGGGGTATGGTATGGTAGGGGGTTGAAAAATGGCCCTACACCAGGTCGCCCTCAACCCCCAAATAAGATGAGAAAAAAAAACATCACAACCCGCTGCGAAAGCCTGATTCAGAGAGAGAAGAGAAAAAAAGCCAAAAGAAAATGCAAAAACAATTGGGACCTGGGAGGCTCGAACTCCCGACCTCAGGATTACTCTGATGTTAAACCAGATCATACTGTAGTATGAGACCTGCGCGCTAGCCAACTGCGCCAAGGTCCCTATTGTTGAGGTAGCGCTCGCTAAAAAGCTCTCATAAGGATAGACACAAGCACAAAGGATTGAGTTGTGCTTCAACCGTGACAACAGTAGAAGGAAATTCGATCCGGTCTAGCGCCGACATCCGCATTTCGATTCAAAATCATGTATATATTGAAAGGTTCAGACCTTCATCACTTATAATAGAGCAAGGATTGGGATGAGGGCATTCCCAGTGTTAAAGTGCTCGCTGCGTGCCGCGGATGTCAAAACTACTTACCGCCCGTTGCACTGTTGCGATTACTGTGCCTTATCGTGCAGTTCGTCATCGACCCGCCGAAATTCCCCTGGAGATCGCCGCCCATAACCGCGAATGTTGCCTCTTGATACCTAAATTTCTGTTTCATCTTCCTCTTGTTTTCTATCTTTCGTGCCTCCTCCTTTTGGTGCAACACCCTCGTTTTCTTGGACCCTCCTTGGGCTCTCATCATGAGCTTCAACCCCATGCTCTGCACCCGCCCCCTCCGCGCCGTGCGCACAATCGCCAGCAACCCGATCTCAACCCTCTCCGCACGATCATTATCACACTCCTCCCGCGTATATTCTGCCGCCGATAACTCTTCCAATCCTCTCAAGTCCGAACTCGACGCAAAAAACAACAACACAAATCACGAGCCAACAACCTCCGATCCGAAGCCAACCGATTCCCAAAATGACACCACGACGCCGCCTACGTCTAAAGATGCACCTCCCCCACCCGGCACCGAGGAAGAACAAGGCCCCATGACCCGCCGTCTCGCCCAAGCAACCGAAGACGCCCTCCTAACCGGCGGCCGCGCCGGCCTCCGCGCCATCGAAGAAGCCGGATTTGACGAAAACCTGCGCGACCGACTCCTAGCCAAAGTGGCCTCTGCCAAGTTCGCCTCCGAGCACGCCTCGGCGCTTTCCGAAGCCGGAATCACCTCTTCCGGCCACTCTCGCATCCCCGGGTCTGCAGGGCAAGGCACGCGATCGATTGCTTCCTCACAGGCATGGACGGGCGAAGAGTCAACGGAGGACGCCGTGTTGAGAATGTTGAATGATGCGCACAAGCCGCTAGGAAGGGAGACGAGGGGGAAGCCTAAGATTCCTAGCCCGGTGGTGGATATGCGGATTAAGCGGCAACCGCAGATGAGTGCGGGGAGGAGGGTAGCGAGCGCGAGGGAGAAGGCGCAGGCGTATGTGGACATGGAGTTGCCCAAGGCCGAGTCGATGGGATTGACGGAGGAAGAGCGGGAGGAGTTGCGGCGGGAGTTTAGAGAGCGGTTTACGCCGGTGGCGAGGGCGATGCCGAATACGGTTTCGGGGCTGGCGGCGTTGGCGAATGAACGGATTGAGAACGCGATTGCGAGAGGCCAGTTTAAGAATATACCGAGGGGCAAAGGGGTGGAGAGGGATACGAGGGCTGATAATCCTTTTATTGATACCGTGAGTTTTACTTTTCTTTTCGAGTTCGCTCTTGTTTCCTGTGTGTTGTCTGCACTGCGTACCGCGCCGTGCCGTGACTGACAAGAGATATGAAAAACCCGACAGACCGAATACATAATGAACAAAATGATCAAACGCCAAGAAATCGTCCCCCCTTGGATCGAAAAACAACAAGAGCTCATCAAAACCGCCGAGTCCTTCCGCAAGCGACTCCGCAACGACTGGCTCCGCCATGCCGCCCGGATGATCTCCAGTCGGGGCGGCACCCTAGAAGACCAAATCCGTCGAGCGAGCGAGTACGCCCGCGCCGAAGAGATACACAACCCCCGAAGGCGCAACGTGGATCAGATATCCGTACCGACCAACTCGACAGAAGATCCCGTCATGGTCAAGATCCGGCAGCAGACGCCGGACGTTTCTGCCACTTCTGAGAGTACTAGCCAGGAGCCAGCAGTAGCAGCGACAGCAGCAGCAGCCGTAGAAACACCAACGCCAAAAACCCAAGAACCCGAAATCTCCTTCACCAAACCCTTCCGCGACCCATCCTGGGAAGCAGCCGAGCGCTCCTTCCTTGAACTGTCCATCACCAATCTGAACGCCATCACGCGGTCCTACAACTTGATGGCGCCCGAGCTAGCCAAGAAGCCGTACTTCAACTTGGATCGGGAACTGAACAATTGTTTTGCGGACGTGGCGCCGTTGATTGCGCAGACGATCAAGGAGAGGGCGACGAGGCCGGCGGGAGGGAATATCGCTGATGCTATGGCGTATAAGAAGCCGGATGGGATTTTGGGGAGGTTTACGGGGGAAGGGAAGGGGCAGAGGGTCTATGAGAGGAAGGAGCCGCAGTATGGGTTTAGAGAGTTTTGGAGGGATTTGTGGAGGAAGGACAAGTAGTCGACTAGAGGTACCTACGGGCAGAATGGCAACACAGGTTGGCCACTCTAGTTACAACATGGAAGCACATGCAGACATCAGTCTGAACAACCAAGATGCTGAGGCCTCATGTATGTTGGGGAAAAGGAAGAGATCATGTTCATTCACAAGGCCGTTAGGTGAGGGTATCGGACCAGCCGATGGCGTGCCTCACTGAGTACTATCCGTGCTCTGCGTGCTTTGTGACATGCCAGCCCCAGACTTGACGACGTCACCGCACGCCGCCCTCATCATCGCCTGTGCCATGTCCTTGAACAGCTCCGTTTTGATCTCTGCCGCCAGTTCCTGTCTGAGCTCAGCCTTCAATTCCTCCTTGATCTCCTGCCGCATCTCGTCCATTAAGCCCTCTCGCATATCGGCCCACAACTGCGACTGCTGCTCTTCCGTCTTCTCCATCACAAGCTCCCGCGTCTCGCCAAACACTTTGTCCTCCAACTCCCATCGCACATCATCCATGTCATTGCCGATTTTATCATTCACATGTTCGATAATATTCTCGATTTCCTCCGTATCGCAACGGCATGGAGTGTGATCACACCGAGAGTCGGCCACCATCTTCTCGAGGTGTGCAACGCGACTTTGCAGATCGGCATGGCGCTTGGCTAGTTGAGCGAAGGCAGTGAGGATGCGCTTGTCGGTGGTGGTTGAGGGAGACAGGGATTCACTGGTTCGCCGACGTTTGCGGTCTAAGAGGCAGCGTGTTAGTAACCAAATGAGATAATGATGTGAGTGAGCGCAGAGAACATACCAGACGGAGTTATCACTTGCGCCGGACTCTGGAGAGAGTCATCCTTGGTATATGCCGGCGCTACTTCTTCTATCGTTTCATGCACGACTTGCTTTGCCGCAGTATTTGCCAAGGTTGCGTCGGGTCCGGCAGCAGTTGCACCCATGTCGAGAATTACGGCGCCCAAACCTTTATGCAAGACTTGGAGATTCGACCGATTGGAATCCGTTTTTGGTCGATCGCCAAGATAGGTGGATGAAAAGACAGTCGGAAGCAAAGACAATTGATCCCGAACCTCCGGCACATGGCAGAACATGTCCAGGTAGATGTTGAGTTCCTGGACTGTAGCAAGGGATTTCAGAGCTTCGAACAGGTCTCGAGATCGTGGTTTTGGTTCCAAAGGGCGATCTTTGGGGACCGCCAAGCTAGGTGGTTGCGTCATGAGGAAGCGTAAACCCATGAACTTATTGGGCGCGTTGTCCATGCCAGGTGTAGGAGGACGTGTCCTCGGATCAAATTCGATGGACCGAATGTTCTCGGGATACATAATCAGACGAAAAACCAGACAGTTGGGCGTGCTGACCTTTAGGTACACGGGAGCATGAAGAACAAAAAGAGCTCGTTGTTCCGAAGTATCGACGTGAAAGTCCAGTGATAATTGAGATGTATGTTGGATGACATGTGCTGCGTCCTCCCATGTTACCACACCTCCACGATTCAACATGTTGATGTTGCAGTGTCTTTCATCGTCGCTGGAGTCGAACACAACCGAGGTGTTGTCGTCATCGCGGTTGAAGAGACTGTCGCTTATTTTGTCACGAGGCGTGTCCTCGCCGTTCAAACCACTCGCCTCCCTTGGACTGTTAGCCGTAAACGTAGATATGATGGTCTTGGTGCTGGTGTAGTGCCGGTGTACGTAGTGTTGGTGCTGTGTTGGTGATGATCTAGGCGCGCGATGAACATGACAAAAGGGAAGGGACAAAGCTGCCGCTCACCCGTGACGACGCAACTGTCCATCAGTTCCCCCAGACGGAGATGGAGGAGTGCTACGGCAGTAGCATCTACATCCACGGCCTATCGAGGAAGCTCCAGTCCTTTCAGCAAGCAGCTAGCCTACTGAGTAGGAGTTGGCAAGTTTTTATAGCTTCTCGACCCGGGTTACACATACTTTCAGAAGCATCGCACGGCTGAAACGAGCAGCAGAGATGAGGAAAGCCCCGCCGCTCACCTGTGACGACGCAACTGTCCATCAGTTCCCCCAGACGGAGGTGGAAGAGTGCTACGGCAGCAGCATCTACATCCACGGCCTATCGAAGAAGCCCCAGTCCTTTCAGCAAGCAGCTAGCCCACTGAGTAGGAGTTGGCAAGTTTTTACGGCTTCTCGACCCGGGTTACACATACTTTCAGAAGTATCGCACAGCTGAGACGGACGGCCATGTGCCCCGCCGGACACACAACGCCAGGGCTGGGTTTAAAGGGAAAGCCCCGTCGCTCTCGGTTGACAATGTGATTGTTGATCGATTCACACCATCGGACGCAAGACAGCAGAGGAAGCTACGCCAGCAGCATTCTCTACCCGCGGCCTATCGAGAGAGCCACAGTCCTCTCCACAGGAGTTGACCTGTGGTTGGATCTAAGGCTTCTCGACTCGTGGTACACCAACCCCCATACATCATCAATAAGAAACGCTCCGGCCATGCATCCTGCCAGATACATGACCTCGGGACTGGGGCCTTGGTGGTGATCATCCTGCCGCTCTTGCGTGACATTGAACTGTCGGAGGCTTCCCAACACCCGGAGGTAGACAGAGAGCGCTATGGTCGGCTAACTCTCTATCCACGACCTATCGAGAACCCCAGTCCTTCCAGCAGGTGGCTAGCCTGTGGGTAGGAGTTGGCAAGTTTTTACGGTTCTCGACGCGTGGGACGCATCCTTCCAGCTATTGCCAGGAGAAACGGGACGGCCGTGTGCCCAAGAACACACAGCACCAGGAGTGGAAGGGGAGACGGCAGGGGAGACGGCAGGGGAGAGGGAAGGGAAGTGGTGGAAGGATAAGGAAGGCGAGGCGAGAGGGGGGGTTGGGTCATGAAAGAGAGAGAATGACCTGGCGTCGGTGATGATGGTCCCGCCGCTCTGGCTAGCCGACACGGCTTACTGCGAGATTCCCACGATGCGATAGCCCGTCAAGCACCCCCGTCCTTCCAACAGGCGTACGTGATGGGTAGGAGTTGATGGACTTGATATGACTCTCGAATCGCGGGACGCTCACTTCAGTGTGTCGACGAGGAAAAACGGACCGGCTATACATCCACGTAAGCGTGGACTCACGGCACCGGTACTATCAGGCACTGACCCTGGGAAGGAGAATGGTTGTATTGGACTCGGTTCATCGTCGTCGCGATTGTTAGCTCCGCCGTCGGGCTGGTGTGAGGGAGGAGGAGTACCAAAAAGAGAATAGAAGGAAGAAGAAGGAGAGGAAGAAGAGGGAGGTGAAGTGTGGGTCACCGAGTCCGCCATGGGAAAGGGGAGGAGGAGGAGGAGGGCCGGGATGAAAGGTCGATGGAAAAGATGGAAAAAGGTGGGTGGGTGGGATTGATGACGGAAGCAGCCAAATTGAGGGAGGAGACCTGGAGAACCCAACTCATTTTGCCCAAGGGGAAACCCAGCCCTTTTGTATGCGGGTGCCCGTGCGCTGCTCGGTTTGACCTTGGGCTGTGATTGGCTTACTGCGGAGGCCCACTTATCGGCTCACCCACGAAAGGCGTGTGCGGTCACTAACAATTTCCCGCATTGATCTCTGCATTCTACGTTAGAGAATGAACGCTCAAGCTTCAGTGGGTCAAAGCCACTTGGCCTGCAGCGATACGTCTGCAGTGTGCTTGCTGAAGGCTCCAGGCAACCAACTCCCCATCAACAAATCAACCTCATTGCTGGACAATCAAAAACACCAAAGTCAACAATCATGATCACGCAAATACCGAGACGCTTCGATGATACGGCCGATTTGGTACCGCTTTTCTGCAAACGCCGTAATGGTTGAATTATCTTGACGCTTCCAAGAGTCACATGATTAGTCACAGGCTGTCCCATCAGCCACAGGGAATCACCACCCACAGACCTCACTAGCCACTCACTTCAGTTGCTTTCCCTCCAGGATATGTCAGGGTTAGGGTCATTAGTGTACGATGGCTCCATCGCCAACAGGACGATGTCATTCCAGTCATCACTCACGCACAACACTTTTGAACTAAAATTGAAGGCCGAATTGTAGATACCCAAGAATACCATTGTGGTTGCCATGTATGTTGGCGGCCGACGCAGATACAATTATTCCTTCACCGAGAGGTCTGCCGGTCTGGAGATGGGTGAACAACACCGACCTCAAAGCAGCGCTGGACATACTGGGCATGAACAGAGGGAACAGCAAGCCAGAGAGAAGAAAGCATCGTGTGCTGGCGGTACTATGATGCATTCCAGGCCTCCAAAGCGACAATCTGCCAGTCTATATAATCACTGTCACGGGCGATCTGGTCTGCCTGCCACACGCAGCAGCCGCCCCGGCGGCCTGATTGTCAAATATGGCAGAATAGCTACCGGCTAATTGCAACCTCTCCCCAAACCAACCGAGAGCGAACAACAGCATCCACGGTTTATTAATGAATGGCGACTTCAGGGACGGGCCATCGTTGTTATGTCTCACAGAGGTGGATTCCCACGGTTTCCGCCCTGGCACCAAAGTGTCTTAAGCAGGCCCCTAAATAGTGGTCTGCCAAGCATAACCTGAAGAAGCAGATAAACGGGCAACGACAAAAAAAAATTAAGAAGACAGAGCATTGAAGCCATCAAGCAACCAACGAATCACCTCACTGCCGAAACAAAGAAGAATATCCAGGCCGTCATACATGACCGCCGAGACCTCGCTAGACATTCACGCCCATCTGCTTCCAAAAGGGAGAAAAGCACGTTAAACCTATTATGGACAAAGGCGTTGATCTTTCCTAGCGACTGCTACCAGACACCCCAAACCCCCGCACTCTCCAACTCCTCCTCGAGATGGCCTCGTGGTCCAGCCATCCGTTCCGTCGACACATCCACCACCAACCCGCCAATCTGGTCTCGGACAGCTTGGCGAACCTTGGCTTTGACCTTTTCGCCGCGGGGAACCATCACCAAAATACATTTGCCGAACCTTCTCCAAAATGCTTCATTCATGCGGTTGGATGAAAAGGAAATGGAGGGTGTCATGTTGGTTAACGCCACCGCCCGACTTAGGGAAAACACCTCATGTACCGGTTATTTTCAAGCGGAGGAGGGGGAAGGAAACTACGAGACGACGTAACCGTAAGTGACGGCGAAGAGACGGGCGGCAGAAAGAATGTCACAATGCAGAGCTGAGCTTGCATACCGCATGCTGTATACCCAATATCGCGACTGCCAGATGACATCCAGAAAATGTACGCATCTAGCATGAAGCCGCTAAGACGTGAACGGACAGACAAGTTGACAACAAGGTGTGGCAGAAGGGGGACCCAAGAGCAGAAAAGCTTGTGTCGATGATATATAAGCTAAAAGCAACGCTGCGAAAAGGGTCCTTGCAAATCCTAACTCTTTTGCCTTTTATTAACTGGAGACAATCTGAATATCCCATTCCTACCGCTACCTACAGTTGCAACAAGCTTTTCGGCTAGCGGGTTGGCAACGGGAGATACCGCGAACCGGAGCAAATGTCCGTTGTCTTATTTGGGTTTTCTCCGATTGTTCATAAGGGGTAGACCCGCCGCCAGCTATCCACCTACCTGTGTTTGTCCTGCCCCGTCTTTGACTTTGTCTTATACACCCTCGAAGATCAATCGACATCACCTTTGAGCCGTCAGGGTTCAACTATCACAGTTCAGGTCAACCTCATCACATAGCGACATCAAAATGGGGGACCTAGAGAAGGAAGTCGGTACGTCAACTATTCACACCACTCTATCCATGATCATCACCAACTCCTACTCACCATTTCACACTGCCAATGTCATTATTCAACCTCACTAACACATACCAGCTCTCCATCACGAGCAAACACCCAAAGACGCCGCCTCCTCCTCCAGTACCTCCCTCCCCGAGCTCTCCTGGACCGATGCCGAAGAGACGGCCATCCGGCGCAAGATTGACTGGCACTGCGTCCCCATTGTCACCCTCCTGTACATGCTCTGCTTCCTCGACCGAGTCAACATCGGCAACGCGCGCATCCAAGGCCTCGCCACCGACCTGCATCTCGAAGGGACGCAGTTCAACTGGGCCCTCTCCATCTTCTACATTATCTATCTCCTATTCGAAGTGCCGAGCAATGTCCTCCTCAAAGCGCTCGGCCCCCGGTTCTACCTGCCCCTGTTGGTCTGCGGGTTCGGATTGGTATCTCTATGCACGGCCTTTGTCACGAATTTCGGCGGGTTGATGGGCGCCCGAGCGGTACTCGGCGTCTTTGAAGGCGGCGCGATGCCCGGCATGGCGTTTTTCCTGAGCACTTTCTACAAGCGGGAGGAGTTGCTGTTCCGCATCGGGATCTACGTCTCCGCGGCCTCCATCGCCGGCGCGTTCGGTGGACTGTTGGCCACGGGCCTCTCGAGGATTCCGGAGTGGGGAGTGGCGGGCCACACGATCCACACGTGGAAGAACATTTTCTTCTTTGAGGGGCTCATCACAATTCTTATCGGCCTCGCGGCGCCGGTCTGGATGCCTACCGACCCGCGGACGGCGTGGTTTCTGAACGAAAGGGAGAAGAGCATCGCGGCGGAACGGTTAGTCAGGGAACACCGTACGGATCCTGCCCAAAAGGTTGAGTGGCGCCATGTCAAGTTGGCGGTGATGAACGTGCATAACTACACGTGCGGGATCGGGTTCTTTCTGATTAATATCACGGTCCAGGGACTGTCGGTGTTCTTGCCGACCATCTTGAAGGATCTGGGATGGCAGAATACCAAGGCCCAGTTGTATAGCGTGCCGCCATATGTGTGCGCTTGCTTGGTCGCCATAGCGGTGGCGTATGGGAGCGATAAGAGTCGGCAGAGAGGTATCTGGCTGGCGGCGTTTTCGGTGCTGGCGTTGATCGGGTTCGCGATTCTGAGGTGGGTCAGTCAGCCGAATGTGAGGTATATGGCTGTCTTCTTTGTGACGGTTGGTGCGTTCCCAGGAGGGCCGGGGTTCTTGAGTTGGGCTATCAATAGTAAGTGGTTCTTTGGTACCTATGATTGATGTTATGGTGATGGATCGAAAACTAATGACAAGTTAGATTCGGCTGGACCAGCTGTTCGTGCGGTCACCAGCGGTTACGTCGTGACGCTGGGAACTATTGGCGGTATCGTTGCTACGTGAGTTTTCTCTCTACGCTTTCCCCTTTTCCTAGGTCATGGAACTAACTCAGATATGCCTTCCATAGCTGGACCTACGTCCCAAGCGATGCCCCCAAATACCATACTGGTCATACCATCAACCTCGGCGGACAGATTGGCGTCGTATGTCTGTCCATCTTTGGCATCCTCTACTGTGCATGGGAGAACCGCGCCAGGGCAGCAGGCAAGAGAGATCACAGGCTGGAAGGTCTGACGGAGGAGGAACAGGAACACTTGGGGAACAGACATCCGAGGTTCCATTTGTGGACTTAAGGTTCCGCCACTCTCCTTTGCCTGGGCTGGGTTTCGCTTGTGTATGGCTTCAACATGTCAATCTTATATATCTTCCTCTTCGTGCTAATGATTATCTGAACATGCCCCTTTATCCTCATTATCTAGGTATGTACGCGCCCGGTGCAGAACTCTTGCCGTACACATACACCTCCACCAAAACAGCCATTAACACGGGTTCTTGAAGCAGAAACTAGAGCACCATGGTGATAATACAATTCGCTTCATGTTCGGTTGGCTCAAATGGGAGAGCGTTGTAGGTCGTGTACATTCGACTCGACGTCGATAAAAATCAATAAACAAAGACGACTCCATCTCGACCTGATCTCGATTGCTCCCTGTCGACAGATGGGACGAATGCCCCTGGGCGATCTTTGCGGGGACCCCGGATTTCACTGTTAGTGCTGACTCCGCTAAAGCACGTGCTGTGGGGTTCGGCTTTCGAGGGGTCCAGTCTGGGGGAGTTCCAAGTTTCAACCGAAGGCGTGTCGGGAGGATCCATTGTGAACTTTGGCCTTTTACAGCTGACATCTTCACCAGCTGTCTAAGATAGAGGTAAGTATGAGGAGCCCAGCATCTCCAGTGATTGGATCCAAGTGGTCCCATTGAAGTTCCTCGGTATCTTCTTAACCTGTTTTCACTTTACACCAACTGGTCCCCCATCCAGGAAGATGTTACCCAGTCAGACAACTGCCGTCCAAGCCGTCCCAACCCGTGCGGAGAAAGCGCACCTTTGGCAAAGAGCCAAAATCGACATTTCGTTTCGTCCAGCCAATCGAACATTGTCCTACTAGTGTACACACACATAACATGGAACATGGTCCTTGGGAAGGAAGATCGGCACGATGGTGCGGCTGGCACAGTCGCTCACAGTATCTAGCTCGCAAGCTCGCCGGCAGTCTCTCCACCGAACAGACAACAGACAACTAGAGGTAGGTATCAGAGAAACTGTGTGAACTGAACAACACCCTTTGACCAAATCACCATGCATCACTAGCGCCGGCAAGTTCTTCCTCCTCCATCCATCATCTTCAGCGAACCATGACCCGAACACCCAGACTGTCCAACTTCGGCAGCGGCACAACGAAATCGTGAACATGCTTCACATCGCTCTCGTCCGTCTCGAACAGCTCCATTCTCGGCCCATCAGGCCGAAAAAGCATCGCCAGCACCAAACTGATCTCCGCCATGGAGAGACTACATGGGGTACACAAGCAAGTCAGCGAAGGACACCTCTCAACCTCTCAATGCCACCACCACAACTCTCACCAAACGGGCACCACTTACTTTTGACCAAGACAACTCCTCGACCCTCTAGTAAAGGGCACATAGCTCCTCTGCATCACCCTCGTGTCCCCACCCAGCCATCGCTCCGGGACGAACTGGTCGGGATCTTGATACACCTCCGGGTTGCTATGCATCAAGTAGGCGCTCATGCCCACCGGAGTCCCAGGCGGGATCGTGTACTCCTTGTACTGGATGGCCACATCGGGCGAGACGCGCGGCAGACGTCTCATGAAGCCATAACTGAGTCTGTATTTTTCTCCCCCCTTGTCCGTCAGTTCGCTGTTTGCTACCATGTGGCACACACACACACACACATACACACACACGAGTTTACGCGGGACAGAAAACCTACCGCAAAGCTTCCTTGATGACTGCCTGCAAATACGGCAACTTCTCCAGCTCAGTCCAAGTGGGAACGACTTCTGGCCACGCAGCCATGACATCTCGCAGCTCGTCCTCGAGACGGATCTTGATGTCTGGGCGGGAGAGGATGTAGTAGGATACGAAGCTGAGGGTTCGCCCGGTGCTGATGGTTCCGCCGAGAAAGATGAGCTTGGCTTCTCTGACTAGCCGCTCTTTTGTCTTGTCGGCAGGTGAAAGGTTATTACTCTGCGCCAGCGCGCGGAAGAGCGTGGTATGCTCCGAGCTGGTGGTGTCCTTGAACAGGTGCTGTTTGGTTACAGCTTTGTGGATTTGGGTTCTTGTTCGCTCATCGTATTTGTTGGCTATGCGTCCTTGAGGGAAAAGCCAGAGCAGCAAGCGCTGTGGGACGTATCCTAATGAGCTGTAGAATAATGGTTTAGCCTTGGAGGCCCATGACGGCCAAGCGTGCAGCCAACTCACCTCAACGCCTTTGGAAACTTGGTCAAGATGGGCGCGTTTCTGATCAACCCAAGCATTCCATCATACCACTCGGGTCCAAAATCTGGCTGATCAAGAAACCCATCGCCAGGTTCAAGGTCGTCAGTACATATCCTCTCAATGCAGTCCGCTGAGAAGGCCGAGAAAGCGCGATCTAGCCGCACAGCTTTCCCTTGGCCCTTGTATTCACGGATACGGGACTCTAGAAACACGGCCTTTTCTGCAAGCATGGGCCAGTATCGAGTGTTGATGGCCATGCGGGAAAAGAAGGGATCAAAGGGCTTTCGTCGCTGGCGATGTAAATCATGGTCGATTGTCATGAAGTGGTTGACTGGGACAAAGTCAGCATTGGATGGACCCTTCCTCTCTCTCAAATATCTGAGCTGCACCAAGAATCTCACCATCAGTGTCATCGGTACACCCCTGGAACAACGGCCAGAAGTTGGTCCGTCGCTTGCTACTTCCCACATAAAGCTCGTTGTAGTATTCCGGGTCATGGATCGACAATTCGTGAGGGTTGATGCGCACTATCGGTCCTAAGTCCATCCACAACCAGTAGTTAGTGCTGACTCTTTGTATATCGCGGTTTGAAAACGCTTCTTCCTTACCAAACTCCTTATGCATCTTTTCTATTTCAAAGAGGTACTTCCCACCGTACCAGAAATTGTAATAGAACTCATACCAAGTGGTGACAGCAGCCATCTTCCTCCCCGGAAACCTGGCCAGGGGGTGAAAGTATAATCGGTACACTGCGAGGCCGATGACGTACAGCAGCCATGTCGTAATGACTACCAAAGCCGCTGTTCTGGGACATGAACTGAGAGTAGCAGCACGGGAGCTGGCCCAGTTGAGGACTGCCATCGTGGTTGGGGGGAATGCAGCGTGTTTGTTCGTGTGACGTCCTTGTTCCCTTCGTTCCCGTTCCAAATTCAGGGAAAGGTTCAAGGAGGGTCCTAGGAAGCAGCGAGTCCTCTTTCTACCTTATAGCAACCCAGAAATCTCACCATACCAAAAGCCATGGCGCAAGTTCAACCAATCCTATGTGGGATGGAGTTCTATCGCCGGCATTTTCCAAGATTCCCAAGTACATAGTGGGGTCTGGAAAAGACCGACACTCTGGGACATGACAACCGCCCTGACGAAACACTATCGATTTCGTGCGTGGCTGACATGGTGTTGGGACCTGTTGATCTAGGCTTCAACGGCCAGGAGAGGGCTAGTCAGTGTGCGGCTGAAGCCCGTGCCGTCGGGATGACAGTGGGGGTTGGGTGTGTACGGGATGGATCTGTAACGGTCCTTCAGTCTCTCTGTCTGACATGTGAATGAATGGCTTGAGTGAAGCGCTAAAACATCATTCCGATATCTGTTTTCAGCTCGGACTTAACGTCACTAGCGTGGAAAAAGGATGCTACTCCTGGTCCAGTTATTCTTGGAAGGTTTTTTGGACGGATGTTCTAGATTCCCGATAGCGATTCTTAGCTCGAAGCCTCAAACAGACTATCGATATCCGGCATCATAGCTTGAGAGATTGCAGGGGTAGTGTTAGGTAGAGAGACAATGGAGAAAGATGCCTTGAGGTTTGCCTGCCGCCTTATTGCAGTGGTAGAGCGTGGTGTTGAGAGGCATTGGGGGCCATGGGGGGACATTTGAATGGCTGGCTACCTGAAGGCGAGATGCTTCTTTCAACGCCTTTCGATTGCAGCAATAGTATAAGGTTTCACAACGGCAAGCTGCATACAGTCCGACAGCACTTATATTCCATTCTAACCGTCCAACATATGTAAGAAGCGGCGATAGCGGGCGTGCTCAGACGGCCCGGTCGTACAACTGAAATTTTATTATGCCCGACATCCTTCGGAGATAAATTCAAATCACACATGAAAGCCTGGTTCGAGGATTGGGAGTGAAGATACCTACCTAGGTTTTGCTTTTGTAAGGCATCAAGATAAACATCCGCATGAGCCACGTTGAATAAGCGCCGCTCTGCCGCATCGAGTATTGTCTGACAAACAAATGAGCAGCTGAATGTTCAGTGAATGCGATTGGTTCTTATTTTGAAGTTGATTGGATGCCTGTCAAGAATCGTCGGGATAGGCAGAAAGGGGACAAATGACGGATGATGCCCTTGATCGTGTGAGATAGACCGGTTAGAGAGCAAGTAGAACATTTCCAGAAGAAAATCGTCACCACCTAAAACCCCGGTGCCGTATCTGCGTTGGTGATGTCTTCAGGACTGCCTACTGATTCCAACCACCAAAAGACATACCAAAAGAAACAGCAAAAAAACAAGAACAGCACAATATGAGCAACGCACAACCGCGATATAAAACAAAGAAAAAGTAAAAACAGAAAAAAAAGTTGCGCCAAGAGGGAATCGAACCCCCACCTCATCCTTGGAAGGGATGAATCCTAGCCGTTAGACCATTGGCGCTTATTGTTGAATAATACTACATAATCTGTCACTATATTCATACTTCAAATTCTTGGCGCTGCATGGGTCCCCCAAAACTCCATTCATTTTCCCCTTTTGAAAGAGAACATCGACGACGATGCATTTGTCGGTACCATTCCCTGAAAGGATTTTGGGGAATTGCCCAATTAAATTATCACAGCCCCTTTAAGAGAGACTGATGCGCAGGCATCGATGCCTTAGCGGATGTCTCACCGATCCTTCCTGACTCCTGAGTTCTGGGGCTGTCGTCGTATGGCGCTCACCACGCCGATTCGTTCAGGTTCATCAAGGCTTTACACAACACCAAGCTGTACTCGATCAAGTCAAGTCTAGTATAACCATTTCTATTGTATTTCCGCGTGCAAAGACACAATGAAAATGTTTCTGTTATGCTGAGAAACGGCAAGGCACACCGACTCATCACCTCCATGGAGGAACATGGGAAATGTCACCAGAACATCCGTCCCATCAACATCCCGAGACATAGAGATTTTACTAGATTATTTACCATAATATCACCGATAACGAGCTAAACCCTAGCCACGATTCTTGCAATCAAGTTAATCACGACTTCACAGTTGGTTTGATGTGATTCGTGGCAGGGTGATTCTCTGCGGTAGTCCGCGTTGTCAATGGGACATATTTCGAACAGAGTCTTCATCTGGAAGACATCCGGATCGCAGTAGTGCCTTCGATGACTTTAACCGGCGTGGCGAACCTTGTCCTGATGACCGTTTGTAGGAATTACTCCATCATCGCATCGCCAGTAGTCAAACGTTCGTGAAGCGCGTGAAGCAGATTTCAACCTTGGTTGGTGAATCATCCTCCCATTCACAGCCCCACGAGTAGACCCAAGAATTGGCGAACCTTCGTACTTAAGGCCGCCCCTGGTAGGTTTCTCAAGCTTCCCTTCCTTACCTACCTGCAGCCCACCCAGAAAGCGATATCACCGAACCACGTAATCAAGGGAAAGATGGACCTCCAAACCCCAACACCAGCCGCAGCTCCAACCGACCGTCTCTCCCTCGCCTCCCTCCCCAACGAGATCCTCGACCACATCTTCTCTCTCCTCCCCGTCCCCACCGCCCGCCTCTGCCGTCTCCTCTCCCACCGCTTCCTCCCCAGCAGCACCCGCGCCTCCTTCCCCGTCCTCGTCGTCTCTCCCCTCCTCAGCGACGCCCACCACCTCCAGCTGCTCGCCAACTCCCCCGCCATTTCGCCCTGTTTGCGTTCCATCTACTACATAACCGACACCCTCGCCTCGCCACGCTGGCGACGTCTCGAGTCTTCTTCCACTCTAGACGAGGAAATCGCGCCTGAGGACTTCACCTGGTCCCCAACCGACCACCCGAGGAACTGGCTCCCGCACTACGTCCACCACCCACAAGGCTCAGGCCGCATCGACCTCCTCTCTGCAGAATGGTACCAACACCGCTACCGCCCGCTGATAAGCCACCACCGGCGCTCAGCAGACCAAATCGCCCTCGATCGGCAGCGGTACGAGGACCTCCTACTAGACCAAGCCCAGTTTTTGGCCGAGGACCACTCGCCCAACCGCGACTACGACGGCATCGTCATGTGCTGGGAACAGTTCCCTGCGCTGGAACACATCACCATTGAGGCGTGCAGGGAGCTGAGTCTCGCTGCGCCGCTGAATTCCGTGGCGCTGCATAGCGATCGGAACCCGTTCCGGTACGCGCCGTGGCGGACGGCGTTTCCGAGCATTTCCACGCCCGAGACGGAGGAGCGGGTGTTGCGGTCGTTGGTGCGGTACTTGGAGATCCAGTCGGTGGTGGGAAAGGGAAAGGCGCAAAGGTTGAAGACGCTGCGGATAAAGAACCTGTCGTGGTGCGTGTTGGATGATCCGGGGATTTTCTTCTCGCCGATTGTTGAAGGGGCGCTGGCGAACTTGACGACGCTGGAGATCCAGATTCGTCATGGGAATCCGATTCACATGGCTGCGAAAGAGTGTATCCCGCCCATGAGCCAGGCGAGGCTTTCCCATGTTATGTCGTCAGGGAATGTTCGCGCATTCTTGAAATCGCTGACGAACTTGCGACACCTGACGTTTGAAAGGGATAGGATTTGGTACCGCGAGGAGCACATGATTCCAGAAGGTGATGGATATAGGTGGTCGCTGGGGGACATCATCGATCCGGAATCCCGGTGGCCACACTTGCAGTCCTTGTCGCTGTCACACTTCAACGATTGTGAGAGGGAGGATATCGAACAGATCATGGACAACCATGCCGACACGCTTTGGAAGGTGTCGTTGGGAGACGCTAATCTCAGGACAACGTTGTGGGTGAATCTGGTGGATTACTTTTACCAGGAGAATCAGAGGCGGATTGCAGGATATGACGGCAAACCCCTGTACCATCTGGAGCTATGGGGTTGCCTCAGAGGTACCAGAGAAAAGGACATCACGGGGCAGCAGCAGCCTGGTACTCCAGATCACACAGGAGAGAGAGAAAAGTGGGCTTTCTGGCGTGGGGACCCGCATAGCTGGGAACTAGCGAGGTATGTGTATGGGATTGAGTTCCAGGAGTCGAAGTTCGCATGGGAACATAGAGCACTCTACGCTCGTATAATCGTCGGCGAGCGCGAGGAGGGACTCGGAGGGCTAGAAAATTGAAAACCAGCCAAAAGTGGAAAGAGTTTGGCGCAGAAGGGAATTAGAGAAATCGGCACGTTGTCATAACCGAAGGAAATTGAGGAAAGCCGTGGAGGTAGTTGACAAGTAAAGACTTTGGGGTTTGGTAAGTGAGGGATTGCCGCAGCGGTAGGCTTCGTGATCTTGTAGCCTATCCAGTCAGCAGAATGACTATCAATGGCAATGGGCGTTGAACATCGTTGCTCTCCGACAATGTAGATGTGAATTAGTTGAGTTACTTGCCCAAATCCCCCCTCGAAGATTCTTTGAGGTCGGTTAGGCATTACCCAAATATCATCGCCGGAAAGTATCCCGAGACACGGAGCCAACCCCTACCTATGGAAGAGACCTCAAACGCAGCTAGATCGATCGCCATGTGGGATGACGTGCCTTGACCATTTTGAAAGATCTCACTGACTTACTACTTAATGAAAATCGTCTCGCCTCCAGCCCGGGTTGAACTCGGGCCCGACAGAACCTCGACACTTGACTTCCTTGGCAGAGCTTCCCTGATGGAGTGAGTGACCAGTCATTCCATGTCCCTACCCCATCCCTCCTCTTTATTGCGTCCCACTGCCGTGGATTTTTGACTTATCATCAATGCTCCGAAAATGCCAAGTTTTTTTTAAAGTTTTCCGTACAGGATCTGGGGTCGAGAAAATTTAGACGGCAATCATTGGGGTTGGGAATTCCGCTTAAACTCCAACTTTCAAATTTCCACTTCACACCTTGGCATTCCACCCTCCGCAACCCGATATAGAGCAAACCAGAGCACTGTTCATGCGGCCTCCGGAATGGCTTTCATCCTGGAAACGCATTGTACAGTAATAAACTCGTCCCCATCTCAGAGGAATTTCGCTTCCGTGCCGAAGGGATACGGGAGACGAACGATGATCCGGCTGACTCCGTGGCGTATTCTAATGGTTGTGCCAGCCGCGTCTATTGAAAGACGGAATGACTGTAACGGCGCTGTGCTTTCTAGATTATGCACTTCAGTATTTTTGAGTTCAACTTGGCTTGATGTCTTGCGTTAGTATTGAGTGCCAAGGAGAAGTGGTGCTATATGAAACCAGAGAGCCCTTCATTACCTGATCTCACTCTGGCTTGCGTTTTTTTGGTCAGGGCTTGGCTGAGAGAGACTGCGTGACGGCCATGGTTGTCATGAGTGGTCGACCGTGAGACTTGTTTGAACCCCTGGACCCTTGGACCCCTTCACCCGGTAACAAGGTTGCCATCAGGTACACACTCACTGCCCTTTTTGGGTTGCGTAGCATCGTACCTGCATCGGAGACTAAAAAAATTCTAAAAGCCCCTTCTAGGCCTCTTGAAGAAACGGTCTCCACGCCAAATTGTTCTGTGCAACTCGGTGCTCGGTTCGACCCCGGTCGTCATCTTCTGCATGCCTAGGTTTGCTTCACAAATCGTAATGTGGCTTCCGCTTGAATGGATGTCCTTGAATGGGAATTGCGCCTCGGATTACCGTATAAGCACCATCACGCTGTCATGGTGCCTGTCTCCGACTTTTCCGTCAGTCTCTACTCCTGCAATTTGACTCGATATCATCCATTGGAGGAGAGGTAAAACAACAAACTCACTGACAGTAGGTAGTCACCAGTCTAAATGCCTGGTGCTGGAGGCCCCTTGGCCGATCACGTACCCCTGACAGCTGATCTTGCAGCTAAGGATCCCCATGGTGAACATGGCTGCCACGCCGCGCTAGCCACTTCGAAAAGAACGTTGGTCCAGTCCAGTGTAGCACTCCACCGCCGTTGATGAAAGATTGCCAGATCGGACATGCAGGGATTGACATGTTGAGGCTTTTCATGCCTCTTCTTTTTCTGCTGTAATTTAACAAAGTTTGCGCCCAATAGTTCCCGTGCTAGTGTAAGACTTTGTTGATGATCACCCATGATCATCAATTTGCGCAGACCGCAAGACTCTTTCGTATCAGGACACGACAGGCCTCGACTTTGAACCTGGGGAACCCTGACTTGCCAGCGCCTATCTAGGCGTCGTTTCGGCTAAGGTTGTTTGCTTGAGGCTCCATCCAGGTTGAACCATCACAACCCCAGTCCAAATACCTGACTTTCTTGCACACCGCGAATCCGATTTATTGCGCGTTCCAAGCGATCAAGCCACCCAGGCCTTTCAGAAGGACCGAATCGACGGAAGCATAGTTGCGTCGTCATGAAGCCAAGCTTTGCACCTCAGCTAGGTGGATAGTAGGAACATGAGCATGGCGTGATGGTAACTGACTCGAGAGCAGGCGAGCGCGGTTGAGCTAGCCATAAAGAGTGCGCGTCCGAACAGATGGAGGGGGCTCATATTTTGTCTGAAATTTTACTTTCTTGGCCATACCCTGCTTTGGGAGTGATGGTCAAGACTCAAGAGAGGCAACAGTGAAGAAAAAGCTGCCCGAATTGGTTTGGGTCTTGTGTGCAGCAAGTGCGGGACCCTTAATATGCTAAGCAAGCTGGGGTGTCCTGGCTTAAGCAATTCCCATCCTTTTGCGTATAGGGCATAAGATGGCCATAGAACCCGCATTTTCGAGCACGTTCCCACTGGACTTGAGCTTAGTTGTTGCTGTCCAAGAGTCGCATATGCCGATCCGTTCTTGGTGACAAGTGCAAAGAACAACGATAATAAGGACGGCAGCCGTTCTTTCACGAGGACCGATATAACTCGGCGTGCCCGCCCTTGAACGGTGTCCGGCATCCGAAGCCGTGAGCCCAGGACGCCATGTCCGGCACTACCAGCACCGACCCGAGGATAACGGCGGCGATCGAGGCTGGGCGAATCCCGAAAGGAATCAGCATTGCCTGGTTAGAGCAATCCCGAGACAAACCCGCGACTGGCGCCATTATCTTTGTCACCTTGCTGACGGGCGTCTTTGTGCTATGCCGAATCGCTTCAAGAGCCTTTGTATTGAGGCGAACCGGACTTGATGACTGGTTAGCGCTACTGGGTCTGGTGAGTGCCTCTACCACTCACGCTCTTGACAGCAGGAAGACCCTGACCCTTTACCATTCATTCAGGCCCTTCTTATAGCGTTTGTGGTGCTGGATATCCAATCGATCGACATTGGATCGGGGCGGCACTATGATTATATCATATACGTGCTGACGCCGGAGGAGGTGAACCGCAGTGAGATTGTCGACTTTGCGGCACACATTGTCTACACGGTTGCGCTGCTGATCTGCCGTGTATCGGGCTTGACCTTTTACCACCGCATCTGCAGCATCCACCGCGGGTTCCGACTGGCGATTCAGGTCCTGATGGGCGTCCTGGTGGCGGGCTTCCTGCCGCAGCTGTTCCTCATCATTTTCCATTGTACTCCGGTGACGGGACTGTGGCCATACACGCAGACCAACAACTGGCAGGAGGGCGTCGAGGACTACGAGTGCTTGCCATGGGGTCTCGTGTACAGTGTCAACTCGGCCGTGTCGCTGTTTTGCGACTTTTTGCTGTTTGGCATCCCGTTGGCCATGATCCGGATGCTTGATCTGCCGCGCAAGCGGAGACTGCAGCTGGCGTGCATTTTGCTGCCTGGCGTCTTGTAAGTCGAGCACCTGCCTGTTGGGACAGGAGTTATGAAGGTTGACTGACAATGGACAGGGTTACCTGCATCTCGATTGCTCGTTTGGTGCTGGTCATCGAAGGTCAGTGGAACAAGGACATGTCATGGACGTACAACGCCTTGTTGGCGGTCGAGGTATCCGAGATTGGCGCGACCTTGATCTCCTTGTCGATTCCCGGAATCAAGCCCATGTGGGACAAGTACATCAGGAGAAGGGGCCACGATTCCAGTTCTGGGGGACGTTCGGGGCACTCGACCAAGGGCGGCGGCACCAAGGGCACATCGATAACGCTGAACAATCTCAGCCTGCGGCCCCAGCACCTCAACAAGCTGGGTTCCACCAGCGACTGCACGTACAACGACACCAAGAGCCGCAACCGAGACAAGGACGACGACGACGGGACGGCCAGCACCGAAGGCATCATGGTGCGGGTAGATTTTGATATGACGACGGAGAGCGAGACGAACTCACAGTACCGGCGGTCCAAGGCCATCGAAGCGCAAGTAGTTTGATGAGAAGGTTGAATGGATGTGGATGTGGATTTGTTTACTTTTTTAATGGGAACTGGTGATGGTGGGAGGCCGGGCTGGATGGAGGGATGGAGTTCAGGTTGCTTGACGGGGTTTCGTTATGTTTTGCGAACAATGAGGTTCTAGTCTAGTATTTTAGCGGCAGTGGGAGCACGGGCCATGACCAGAGCTGTTAGTGCCCCCTCACCAACCCTGCTGTCCACGCCGCCGGGGAAACAGGACAGGGACAGCTCATCTAACGCAACCCACTACAACCACACAGCTCCACTGCAACTACAGGGGAGAATGCACCATTCCTCCAAGTATGCCAGCTAGAAATCGGACATTGTCGCTTTTACGGTCTTGGCACTCATATAGGTCACTTCTCTTGAGAACGAATCTCTCAAGACAACCTCAAACAACATGAAGCATCACATCAACTTGTCCATCTGTCATCTCCATATCTTCGACTACTATTGATGTTCATGGTATGCCATACCGTGCTTCCCGCCACTGGAGTCACTGGACACCGCCGGACGCGACAGCACTCTTTCTGTTTGTTTGTTTACACATCAACAGCTTCATCGTGATGCCTGGCCTCAAGAGTTGGCTAGCCGTCGCCACGGCGATTGGCATATGCCTGGGCGCTTCCCTCTCGACCCCTGCCACCAAGGACATCAAGCTCCTCAAGGAGAACTGCCCTCCTAACGACGTCCTCTTCCCTGTCCTTCCCTGCGGCACCTTCAAGCTCGAGGAGGCCACCATCGATGACATGCAGGCTGCCATGAACAATGGCACCCTCACCTCGGTTCAGCTTGTCGGTTGCTATGTCCTCCGTACTTTCCAGACCGATCTCTACATCAACTCCCTCCTTCAGTACAACCCTGATGCTCTGTCCATCGCTGCCCAGATGGACGCTGAGCGTGCCGCCGCCAAGATCCGCGGTCCTCTCCATGGTATCCCCTTCACCGTCAAGGATAACATTGCCACCAAGGATCAGCTCGAGACCACTGCTGGCTCATGGGCTCTTGTCGGTAGCCTCGTCCCCCGTGATGCCCACGTTGTCGCCAAGCTCCGTGAGGCCGGTGCCGTTCTCTTCGGCAAGGCTACCCTCTCCGAGTGGGCCGATATGCGCAGCAACAACTACTCCGAGGGTTACTCTGCCCGCGGTGGTCAGTGCCGCTCTGCTTACAACCTGACCGTCAACCCTGGCGGTTCCTCCTCCGGTAGCGCCGTTGGTGTCGCTGCCAACGCCATCGCCTTCTCCCTCGGTACCGAGACCGACGGATCCGTCATCAACCCGGCTATGCGCAACAACATGGTCGGCCTCAAGCCCACCGTCGGTCTTACTTCCCGTGCTGGTGTCATTCCCGAGAGCGAGCACCAAGATACCGTTGGTACGTTTGGTCGTACAGTTCGTGATGCCGTCTATGCTCTTGATGCCATCTACGGCATCGATCAGCGGGACGAGTACACCCTTGCCCAGGAAGGCAAGACTCCCGAGGACGGCTACGCATCCTACCTCGCCACCAAAGCTGCCCTCAAGGACGCCGTCTTTGGTATTCCCTGGAACAGCTTCTGGCGTTACGCCGATCCCGAGCAGGTTCGCCAGTTGACGGCTCTCATCAAGCTCATCGAGGATGCTGGCGCCACCATCATCAACGGCACCGAGATTACCGACCACGAGAGAATCGTCAGCCCCTACGGCTGGGACTGGGACTATGGCACCAACCGCGGCTACCCCAACGAGTCCGAGTACACCGTCGTCAAGGTTGACTTCTACAACAACATCAAGACGTACCTCTCCGAGCTCGAGAACACAAACATTCGTTCTCTCGAGGATATCGTCCAGTTCAACTACGACAACGATGACACCGAGGGTGGCCGTCCCTGGCCCCTTGGTCATCCCGCCTTCTACTCTGGTCAGGATGGCTTCCTCGCCTCACTCGCCACCAAGGGTATCAAGGATGAGACCTACTACCAGGCCCTCAACTTCACCCAGTCGTCCACCCGCAACGGCATCGATGACGCTCTGACCTACAAGGCCAGGAAGATCTCGGGTCTCCTTGTTCCTCCTGATGTCGCTCAGGCTCCCCAGATTGCTGCCCAGGCCGGCTACCCTATGATCACCCTTCCCGCCGGTATTCACTCCGTCAGTGGCATGGGCATCGGTCTCGGCATCATGCAGACTGCCTATGGTGAGCCGGAGCTCGTCAAGTGGGGTTCTGCCATTGAGGACCTCCAGAAGTCTACCAATACCCCTTACAAGCGCAGCCTTCCTCAATGGAGAGATTGCCTCAAGAGGAACATTCCCGTTTATACTGTTTACGAGGGTTCTGACTGAACAATTTGTGTCTTGTTATCTTTTTCGTCGCCACGTTTTCTTTTTTTCTTTTTTCTTTTTTTTTTTTTTTTAGTTACCGCCCTCCTCAAGCCCGTACTTCTAACCTGTCGGTTAACTACACCTTCATCTAATTCCAACCACGAAAGTCAAGGTACGTCACGGTTACACAGCTGAGGTCCCAGACATTGATGGATCATATTGCTCGCTGATAGCTTAGGTTTGTTCCAACGCAGAGATAGGTAGCCATCAAAATCAACATCATCCGACCCATCTCATCGTACCTCCATAACCAAGTTTTGCTCGTCACAGCTCGACTATGTGAACAGCAAGTCTTAGTTAATGTTTATTCATCCTAACCCCCCCTCTTCCAAGTTATAGTATCAGTGGTTACCTACAGTGGGTGGTGTAGCACATCTCATCGCTGCTTGGTCTGATGGGAAGGACTTTTTCTTTTCAGCACAGTTTCAATACTGGTTTGATTGTTAGCGTGTGTGGACTTCTTCCGACTTTGAATACATAGGGGAGGAATGCGTGTGCGATCCAGAGGTACATGATTGGTCCCAAATCGTTGGTTGGGTAGAGAGAGAGTTTCATAACAGCCTTTCTCATTATTTTAAGAGACAATACCCAAAAGGGAAACACTTTCAGTGCTTTTCTAGGGCTTGCATCGCCAAAAATCCACTAAACCAAGTTTGAGAAGGTAAAGTGTCAATCGAAGTAATCATACCATGCCAACAATTGAACCAGTGTTGGGGTGTGTTTCTGAGAATCCGGTGGTAACTTTGAGAAACTCCTCTATATAACTCCTTGCTGGAAACATTTATATCACATACGACCATACCCACTGGAAAACTCGGGATCCCGTCCGCTCTCCCATAGATAAGCCAGTGAGGGCCAGACTAGTAGTTGGGTCGGTGACGACCAGCGAATCCCTGGTGTTGTATGTTTTTTTCTTTTTCTTTTCCCTTTCTTTCTTTTCTCTCTCTTTCCCTTTTTAACGTCCGCTTGTTCTTATCCCCTTTCTCTCCTTTTTTTCTCTTTTATCTTTTCTTTGCATGCACACACAACCAACAGGGGGGTCGTAATGTAACGCACCATAGTGGCTACTATTAGAACTAACTAATTGTTTTATTGTACGTAGAGTATTTTCAATTGACCAAGGTTCTGCACAATTTTGTTGTTGAGTTTAGGTAGGTACGTGTGAGAATAAAGGAAAAAAGGTTATATGAGTAACGGAAACAACTCCCACCACTTTGTTTATAATTCGTGGTGGTTTTCTTTTCTTTTCTTTTTTTTCTTCTTCTTCTTTTTTCTTAAGACTGACGAGTTACTAGTTCATTCGTCCATCACTTCACAAACCCCATACTTTGTCCTAGCAAGCCTCATCCACTCTAATGAAAGAATTTTTTTCCCCAGAAGTTCTCTTGCTCCTAACTTGAAACTACCTACTGTTGCTGGTACCGCGCTGCTCAAGCGAACTTGGACATAAAAAGCGGACTTAAGAGACATATCAAGTGAAGGGTTTCGGGGAAAATGTTGTTAAATAGGTAGATGCAGTGGTCAGTCAGGTTACCTAGTATGATGTGCAAGACTGGTAAGTCTACTGTACTGCTGCTGTGTGATGAAGCTACGATGGTATTTAGTTGGGATGGATGGGTTGTTCATTTTGATGGCTAAGGTATATCTGCTTTAGGAGTTTGAGTGCTGGATGTCTGGTTAGGACGCTGTGTGTGTGGTGTTCACAGTCTGCAACGGGCAGTCAGACTACATACGTAGGGACTCCAAAAGGTAAAGAAAGACATCTTAATCGATACGTCACATCAGATTTTAGGGCTGAAGTTGTCTCAGATTACATCGGTCGGTTTCAGATCCGATTGAAGCAAATGCATCAACACCAATCAAACACATTTTCTTACAGCTAGAGGTAGTCAAGACAAGTAAGTCATGACAACAGCAAATGAAAATAAGACTGGCTTGCCAATTAATGTCTGTATTTTGATAATGGCAGCGGATCTATATCTGTATCTGTTTTGTCTATAACTTCTTCCAACTCATTCCTCATTCCCCACAACTTCCATTAACATTTCTTCTTTCTATGATACCCCAACATCTCCATCTCATCCCCATACTACTACTACTACTCGAGTGTCGCTAGCTAGATAGCTCTAGGCTAGGCTAGGCTAGGCTGACAGCGCCAAGGAAGGAAATCCGCTTAAGCAGAAACGGTGCCAGTGACAGTGAAGTCGGTCTTGTCGCAAACAATGTGACGCTCGGAGTAGTTCTGGCCAATGGTCCAGTTGGGGTTGGGGCCAGTGGACTCGTCGGTGCAGGTGGTCTTGACGATGGTGGAGCCAGTAGCGGTGATACTTTTTTTTTTTGGTGTTCATGTTAGTCTCTTTCTCTAGTTGTCTCCTTCTGGTGATTACAGGTAGGGTTGACTTACGACTTGTTGTCAGGGGCATAAAGGGTCTCGCGCACGGTAACCTTGCCATCCTCACGGTTGTACTTGAAGCTGGCCCAGCTCTCGGTGCCCTCAACAGCGCCCTTGGGAGCAGAGCAGGGGTAGAAGTCGTTGAAGTCGTAGAAGAAGTCGGGAATCTGGCTGGACTGGGCGCCGCAGCTGTAGACGGCGCCGGTCTTCTCGGAGGTCAAGGAGAAGCTGACATGGCCGTAGCTGTTCTGGTGGGCAGGGGTGGTGAAGACGTAGTCGGCGTGGAAGTCAAAGTCCTTGACATCCCAGGTGAGGCTGGTGGTGGCGTTGGTGGGGGCAGCGGTGGCGGTGGCAGCGAGGGCCAGGGCAGCAGCGGCGCGGGTGAAGTTGACCATTTTGAATGAGTTTGGTGGGGGTTGGTTGGTTGGTTGGTTGGTTGGTTGGTTGGTTGGTTGGTTGGTTGGTTGGTTGGTTGGTTGGTGGTGATTAGAGATTAAGGTTTAGATTGAAGTGTTGGATTGTTGATTGTGATGCTGGATGAGATGGTTGAGAGGCAAGACAGAGAGAGATTCTCGAGATCTTATACTCCAAGATCTTGTGAACAGGTTCATACGAACGGACGTTGGATTACGAGCTGGCGTCCCGGTCGACCTGGGCTACTGATGGTGATCATCACGGTATCCGCCGGATCCTCCTTCGATGCCGTTGTAGCCGTACCTGCTGGCTGTTACGTTACTCGTTTGCTGGCCAGTTGACGTTCAAAAGTCACCGCCACCGTCTGCCGGCTCGTATTGCCCTGTCGTGGCTTGTGTTGTTTTTGGTGGTCTGTAGACGACCCTGTAGACAGGGTGGGACGTTCAGCATCCACCGGCTTGTGGGGAACCGCCCGCTTGGCATCAATTAAACAAGGAGAAGCATGGAGGAGTCGAGTTGCTGCTGCTGCTGCTGCAGATGGGGATCGAACGATGTTCGAATCCTCAACAGATGGGAACTTTCCTTTCTCTGACGACTGCCAAGCAGGCGGACCATCCATTCTTCTTTCTCGTATCTCCCCTTCCCAGCGGGGTTCACCAAGCAGGTCTGACAGCTCAAGCTAGGCCAAATGTGCCGTAGCTTCAGCTGATCGACGTTTTTTGGTCCCCTAATTGTCCTAGCAGGGAAACTTACGGGCTTCGCGAAACCCCGCGGACGCTGGTCTCGGTAGCAGTGCAGATGGCTAACTCGGCTATGGCCGAGACAAGGGGACCAAGGAGATACTGTACATGGAGACACCGCTACACGTATCACAGTTCACCCCACACTCTTTGCAGAGGACTCTTCCCACTTTCATGATTGCCAGGCGGTGCTGCTGATGAAAATAGCATCCATTTGGCTATTGCCCGCTCTGAATGAAGTAAGTCCTGGTTACAAGTGTGCGGAACACTTTTGATTGTTGTTCTTGAACCTGGCTTGGGGTTGTTTGGAACCAATGGGGGCTCCCAAATGCCTTGTCTTTTCCAAGGTCCGCGGAGGTCGCAAGTCCTGAGCTAACAAACAAACCAGCGCCGATCTGCCAAGTCCACCTTGGGCGCTTATTTCTTCGTGTTACACTGAAGATTGAGCACAACAATGACGTCATCAAAGTAAACAGATGAAGGACTGTTTGGTGGAGGGGTTGAATTCGAGATTGAAAAAAAGAAATGAAAACTTTGATTGATTTCGTTGCTACTGTGTACACAGCAGTCCAACGCCACAGTAACACCATTGATGCCATAAGATCGCCCAAAAACGTGGGGTATCCATCACAGCGAAGGCAATATTGCGGCTGGCACGGCAATGATGGCAGACCTCGACAGCAGCAAGGGCTGTGCGCGATTGCAGAATGCTGTGTCACCCAGAAACCGAACAAGAGAGTCTGGGGTGATCCGTTCCACGAATCAGCGAGTCTCGACTCATCTGCTTGGCAACACTTGTACGAGGCATCGGGATATCGGTTGCACCGGGACCCTGGAGGCTGAGTTGATGCAACGGTGGGGGAGTTCGGGTCGTCGCCAATCAAGAACACCAACGCCTGAAGCGGTGTGATAAGGTGAACTCGAACGATACGAAAGGGAACCTCGTTGTAACGTTGACTGTCGTTTTCCAAATCAGCATGTTCTTCCTAAGGGCCGATTGCGATACGAACTGGCATGAACTGAGAAGACGATATCGGTTTGTCGACTTGTTCTGAGGTTGGGGAACCGAGGCTCGCTGACTTTGGAACATGAAACCTTTCTGGAAATGCCACGACTGGAAACTGACAATGATCGACATCGGGATGTGGAGGTTCTGCTTGTGCCTAGGGTCTACACGAGATCTGAGGGGTGCAACGGCAGCCTGTGATCCGCTTTGGGTGGGTAAGCCAAGACCAGGACGAGGAAAAGGGGACGGTGTGAATAGGAGCATAGCTAGGCATGAACGGGATCTCCTTTTTGTTGAACTGAAGTCGACCTCAGCAAATACCCAACACCTCCTCCATTTCACTTCCGTCGAATGCATTAACAGGACACTCCGACAATTCGCCCGTCCTGAAGGCCCCGACACGCCGGTAAATGGTCGATCCTCCTTTATCACCCTCGTCTTTGGCCGGCACCAAGACCAAACCAGCCTGGAATTGTCGTTTCCAATAATTGCCGACCAGCCCTTCCCACTCCATCAACATGACGAGGACCACTTCGAGCCCATCTGCCGGTGTGTCATCGTCCATGTGCACAATAACGGGCGCCTTATCCTTCCCTGCGACGTACAATCGATCCTGCGGAAAGCCCTGGATATCCAGCTCCGTCTTCACCAAGCCCTTGCACACGCGGCCCTTCAAATCAATTGTGATTCCCCCCTCTTTATCAGGCCTGTACTTGGACTCAAACGAGGGGTTAGGGAATTTAACAAGCTGGGAGAGGTAAGCGACGCTAGTAACCGACTCGACCAAGAACCGCTTGTTCCCATCCCAATGGGCGGGCCGTTGTGTGTTCTTTCCGCTTCTCGCAATGTTCTTCAGCGACGCCTGCACATCAAGTTCCTTGGCGGCCCAAGACCACGAAGGAGCGTTGGAGCCGGAATCCACGTTTTTTCTCTCGCCCAGCTCGCGGGTGAAGCGCCAGAGGAGGTCGAGCGGGTAGAGCTCACGCCAGGTTCCGGTGACGTAGGTGAAGGAGCGGAAGTGCTCAATGGCGCGGGCAATGCCGGCCATGGCGAAGAGACGGTCGGAAGTAAAGGTTAAAGAGGTACCGATGAAGGTCTTGACGATCTTTTCCCAGCAGAGGAAGGAGGGAAATGTGTGCTCGATTAGGTGTTTTTCCCTGTCTTTCTGTTCGTGGGACCCGTCTGTCTGCTGTTCTTCAGCGTTACAAAGTGCTTCAAAGACCGTCTTGGAGGAAAAAGGAGTGTCCCCGGTGGCTCGCAAAGTAGGCTCGGTGAGACGCTGTTGAACTCGAGGGGTGCCAGTCTTGAAGGGCCAAGACTCGGCAAAAGCTTGACGCCGACATTCCCAGAAGAGCTGGGGAGCTCCAAAGTAGACGGCTCGCGATGACAGGACGCTTTCCTGTAAGACCCAGCCTCGCTTGAAAAGAGGAGACTGCTCAACATTCTCTGTGAAAGTAGTTTCAAGGAGCGAGTTGACGGCGTATATGGCGGACTTGTCGTCACACACTTTGATGTGGCATGGGGTGGTCTGCAATGGGTTCCTTGGGGTGTAGCACGCGTCGTTGCCACCGGTCCCTAGTGCAGTGACGTTACAGCGGGAATGGCCGTAGACGTCACTCATGGTAAGTCCTTCTCTTTGCCAGTCCTTCTTGGCTTCTGTCCCACTTTGGATGATGCACAGTGAATCAATCCAAATATATCGGCACCCGAGTTGCTGTGTGATCTTCATGGCATCTCGAAACGTCTTGGACAGCCTGTCATTAAGGGGTATTCTGTCTTGCAACTGGGTCATGTTTTCTGTCTCCAGCTTCAAGTTGTGCGGTTTCGTGGAGATGGACCAGGAATGACTGAGGGTGAGGTAGTGTGCCTTCTTTTGGGCAAGGCCTTCGGCAGCCGATATTACCAGTCGGGGGGCTAGTTTGCCGGGGACTTCTCCCACGTCGATGAGCCGCGTAGGCAGCCAGATGGCAGTAGGGTCCTTTTGCGTGGAGGAATAGCGGCTGCACTCGGGGTGGTTGTCGACGCAGTCTTTCAACCAGTACTGTATGGACTCAAGGACTTGGGGAGCATCCGAGGAGGCAGACAGAAGGGGGTTGAAATCAGGGCCTGCTGGGGAGTATGTATCTGTGGAAAACGAACGTCAGAATCAACCTTGACTTTCCCATCCAGGTAGGCAGGCAGGCAACCAACCACTTTGAACCTTGCGCAGCTGGACAGTAACAAAGTCATCCATAATCCATGCGCCAGAAAAGTCCAGACTCTGGTTGTACCGTTCCTCCAGCCAGCCGTCCAGTCCGGGCAAGTCATGCGGCATATCCTCCTCGATTTCCAGCTCTTGTATCCGGCTTGTTTCCAGCCAGACCGAGGAATGCCCAGCACAGGCGACGACCTGGACGACACCCGTATGCTCCTGGTCCTTGAACCATTCGAAGTATTGGTCCTTCTTGCTGATCAGAGTACAGAGGTGACAGCCGGCAGCGGCGGATGCCTCCAGCTTTTCCAAGCTTTCAGAGTGGAAGAAGCGAAGTTTCTCTTCCTGGCCGGCATCCCCGTCCAATGCCCAAGTGCTGGTGCCCGTCCATGGCTTGAGCCGTGCGAGTCGTTCTTGAAGCCAGTCGGAGTGGATGATGCGAGAACAACGATGGCACAGGACGTGGGGGATGACGCCACCGTCCAAAGTCATATCGGAAGGTCGCTCGCTCGGCTATCGGGATCGCTTCAGTTCGGCAAGAGGGGTTGGTTGCCGTTGTCGTGTGGTCGACCCCGCGCGAGCTGATCCGAGACAAGCCATGTTTGTGGCTGGTGGTTGGGTAGTAGTGCCCAGGCTCTGACGCGCATAAGCCAAAAAGCGCCACGAAAAGCCCGTCAGCGTCGCCGCAGATAAGGGCGTCGAACATGAGTGGTGATGGGTTCCATGGACGGGAGTGGCTTGCCAAGATGTGGTGTTTGTGAGACGTCGCAGGGGTGGCATAACCAAGGATGGGCGACGCGGGACGGCGGTTGTTCCCGTGCGCTAACAAACACTATCAAACGCCTCTCCCGTCAGAGCCTCTTCCCCAGAATGTAGCACAAGTCATGTCTAAAACAACTTCACGGTAACACAAACAAATGAAAAGTTGTGAATTACAGTCTGGCTTTACCAGAATGTGCGGAAGTCTCGTTATTTCTTGATAGTTCACTACAGTCATTTAATCATAATTTGGCCCAACAGCGCTCAAAGGACTGTCCAGTCGTCTCCACTGCATCATCTCCCACAGTGCGGTTATAGCGGACATGTCTGTTAGTGTCGGGTGGAGTCGGATTCACTGCAAAGCCCCTTCAGCTCCCAAGCATCAACACTTTGACATAGGTACCGGCAACAATTTTCAGAAACAATTCAATTGAAAAGCAAAAATCAAAGATGTTGAATGATTATAGGCTGCCTCCGTCTTTACGCTTTTCTTGGTTGTTTTTCCCTCTGCCTGTCGCGCTCTTCGTCCATTGAAGTCCCTTACTCACTTCACCTACTCCTTCTAATTTCCTTTCCGCCCAAAGCACTCAAAATGCCCTCCGCCATTCGCAATCCGTTCCGCTACATACAAGTCAGCTTCGTCCATCAAAGGAACGGAAAGTATGATCTTACTCAAATTCAACGAACTCCACGTATCTCTCTTATGACTCCCCGAATCACAAATACAAGCCAACATATCCCCCGACATCCCCCCTCCGTAAAGCCAGCAATCGCAAAAATCTCTACAAAAGTTGGCCGTCCTGTTCTCACTTTGTCAGCTCCCATCCCATTCCATTAAAAGCTAAATGTGGACTTACCCAGATAAATCCTCCACCTTCCCGTCTTTCTCCTCAAACCACTTGAGTATGCTCTCCTTGGCATCAAACCAGATACACTGGTTCAGATCCAGGTTGGTCTCGCGCCATCCATGCAGTTTCGGGTGGGATGCCTCATGGGAGTCGTCGGTGAGCTTGCAGATGCCGGAGAGGGCGCAGGCTTTGGAGTCGACTTGCCAGTTTACACAGGACTTGCGGAAGGTGTCGATCATGGGTTTTTGGTTGGGGTCGGTGTTGGCGATGGTAGTGGCGGAGATGGTAGGGATGAGGGTGGTGAGAATGTGGGCGAGAGTGGGGGGAAGGAGTGGGAAATGCATTTTGGGTTGTGGTGTTGCAGTGGGTTCGTTCGTCTTCGGTGAGTGCTTGATAGAGTAAGTCGACAATTAAGGGTACACTCGGTGGAAAGTTCGACGGCCTGGGCTTGGCTGGGGTCGGAGGTTATAGCTGTGAGGTTGATTGTCAGGAGTGGACAGCCCGTAGCTGTCGAGGGGAAGGTGTGTCACGATATTGGACTAACTTGGTTGCTTTCACCATGACACGATACATCGATACGTGAAGTAGTGTGGATGAAACTTTTGACATCTCATCGACAGCGGCGATTTTGAAGGAAGTTAGTCACTGCCCTGCGCTGTAGCCCAATCCCTCCACGCGCTGCCCTGGATGTACCGCGAAGATGGTCCTTACTTCAAAGTCTACTTTATTTTGAATTAGAGGCAGAACTCATAACCTTATTTCGCTGATATTTCAGTGGTTTTCATCAGGATGGGCAGTCAGGCCAACAAGTACGCGCTTATGTTTGAAACAATTCAGATGCCTTGATAGAGATTCGAGAATATTTCACGACTGTTGACTACTTTACAATTGCCTGTTCCCCCGCGTCCCTTTCCTCTCGTAATATTACTCATCCCGAGCACTAAGCCTTTCCCAGTCGACTATATTAATTCCACCAACTCGTAGAGATACTGCAGTCAAAATCAAGGATCTAAGGTCCGAGCATTCCAAAGCATCCCAGTCGGCCATCACTATTGAAGATATGTTCGGCTGTAGGGCAAAATCATCATCAGTTTACCGTCAATGTTGTCATGATCAGGGGAGTATGTGGAGATCAGTCCTACTCAGATTGATATACGCAATTCTGGACCAGTCAGACGGCTTCTCATCTTCAAATTTGCACCGCAGGAATGCATTCCACGTCCAATGAGTGTACGCCCCTGGGTCGCACAGGTCATTCGAGGTCATACAATAGTCGTCAATTTCAACCCTAACACGGAGACTTGTCGTCAGTCATAAAGTGAATGGAGGGTGTGTTTCACTACCAGGTGACTTCAGGATGCCAAGACTGACAAGTTTCCCTGTGTGCTATCCATCTTCTTCTCATCCGCCGTGGTGGAATTCGTACACGACGGGGGTATCTTCCACTCCACTCTACCCGTCTTGGTGTTGTAGGCAATGCACTTTGACAGACCCAACGTGGTAGTAAAGTTGCTCTTTCCGTCGGCCCGCCGGCAAACAGCGCTTAAGCCTAAGTGCGGTGTGAACTTGAATGTTTTGTGATCACAACTTTGGTCAAAGTTGCCATCGTCAAAACACGAGGAATTTGAAGCCGCAACAGTGGTGGTGAAAATGAATACGAGAAAGTGAAGGGGTTGCATCTTCGTGGTTATGGCTCCAACAAATGTGTTGGATTGGGAGATGTCGATGATGGTGTCGAGGTGAGTGAAAGGGAGCTTTGGCATGGCATTAAATACATCATCAAAAATCTGTCAACGGGTAAGCACCTGTTGTAGATAATGTACAACACTTTCATTGCAGCAGAAGAGTGTGTCACGGCCTGAACTCGACACAAACAATTTTGAAACAGGAGATCACGAACTACAGAGCAAACTCTGAGTAAACGAGACTCAGCTCAGACTAAACTATGAAATATCAAGAAACGACAAAATATGTTTACAAACCTGAACATCTAGTTTACAGTAGTATTTGCGAAAGGTGTGGAGGATTTCCAACGCCTCTTACCTACCCATAAGTCCGGCGTTGTACTCCGTTGGTAGAGGTAGGCAAGTACCAAAAAGTGGACGTTAATCGTTCCTTCAAAGTTCGGTTGATATGCTTTCCGATCGAGAAGTGTTGGCACATGTAAATGCTCCCGGTTGCCACTAATTGTACATACCTGCCCTGCCCGTTGCCGCTCCTTCCCTACCCAGGTGAAGGCGCGAGGAATGACACTCGGTAAGATTACATCTGACACCACCAACCCCAAGCACTTCCCTTAAGCCACGGAGCGCATGGTTCACACCTGTAATCACAATGACGAGGCATTACTCTAGAACACATACGAGAAGAAGACTCCGTCGGACCGCAACGACATGAGTAGAGGTAAGTACCTACCTACCTAGCTAGTTGTGGCCTTAAAACCGAGGAAAGAGCAGAGAAGCCACCGCTTCAATTTCGTCCTCTTCATCGTCGTCGGTCGGGTCTTCCTCTTCTTCCTCCCAAGCCCTCCTTTGGCATATGAACTCCACCGGCCATTTCTTCGTGGGCTCTTGTACCTCCTTGACCGTCTCCACGGCCTTCTTGTTCATCTTACAGACCTTATCCAACGCCTCCTGGAAGGCGTCATAATTTTTCATCCTTCCATGGTGCCCTTCCCACGTCAGCTTGCCAACCTGGCCCACCCACTTATGACACGCCTGCGCCTCTTCGCGCATCGTTTCTCCATGGTATACCATCCGTCGTCCCTCCTCCTCCATGATCTCCATGGCTCGTTCCCATCTGGCCTGGGCAGCGTAGAAATGCTTCTTTGTGGCATCGAAGCCGTTTACGGCTATGGGCTCGTCATCGTCCCCGTAGGGTCTTTGTTGGAGCTTAGGAAGCTTGTCGAGGATGGGGAAGGCCTCACACAATGGAGACCAGAGAGAAAGTCGGTTGGCGTCGCTCCGATACCAAGACATGGGGCGGTCCTTGGATAAATGGTACGGGCGCTTGAAAGGTCTAGAACGGGGAGGAGGGCCGGTTATCTTTTTGGGCTTCTTCTTCTTCGATGGAGCCGGAGCCGGTGCCGGTGCCGAGGAAGGAGCGGCTAACTCTTGTCGCGATGGCATATTGGACCTTTGTAATCAATGTCCTTGTTACTGCCACTGGATATTGGTACTGGATCGTAGAAGAAAAAAATATTAAAAAAAAGCACAAAATGTTGGCGTGGAGAGGTTTGACTTGTAATCTGCTAACGTGAAAATCGGGCTGTAGCAGGTTGCCCGGTGGCGGTTGGATAAAGGAAGAGAATAGGAGGAAGAGTAATAGGAAGAAATTTGAAGACAGCGGTTTCCTTTTTATGCCTGCTTTTATCCCCCTCCATCACTGCGGGCAAATGCATTTTCTCATGTGAATCGACCAAGTTTGGCTCATAAAATCACGCCACCAGCTGGTCTCAAGCGCTGACGAACCGGGAATGGTGGACATGTGCAGCGATTATGCAGCAGTAGGTAGGTAGTCAACGCGGGGGCAGACCTCACCTCACCCTCGCGGCCTCATTCCTTTTGTTCCTTTCCTTCTCCAGCGACACGATGACCATCCTGCCGGTACGTAGATGTTGTAGAACTCCGGCAATGGACATCATCTAGGCATGCATACCTATGGAATTCACAGTGACTGGTGGCTGTAAATTGGTCTCAGTAATGTAGTCTAGGAGATGGCCTTGGTGATGGTTAAGTCTATGTCCAATCTCGGGCCAGTCGAGAAAAGCTCAGAAAGTACCTATAAGCCATCGCTCATATCTGGGAAGAACCTCATCATCACCAACCCCCAGCACGATCACTCGCTGCTCTGCTCACTCTTCTCCCTCTCCTCAGCAGCACTTGCAAGTCTTCATCCTCCATGTCCCGTCCTCGCCCCACGTCTACGTCCCAACTTGTCCGACCCATCAGTGACGAGCATGGAAAATCTCCCCAAAGTTCACCATCTTGTGCGGCTTCCTCTTCCATCGATGTACTTACGTTCGATTGTCACTTCCCAGGCAGCGAGCGTGCGCCACAACACGTCAAAAAGTTGCTTGACAGCGTTATTGTACCCGTTTTCAGCCTGGCTGGGTGCTTTGCCCCAGAGGGAATCAGGGTAGGTATGTACTGGCCAGCGATCACGATGGCGGAGCTTGGGCAGTTTCTGGCATTTGGCGGAAAGGCCAAAGAATGAAACCAAAGTTCGCATCACGTCAAACTTATCGCATAGGTCGGAGCGAGAGACATAGATATTGTTGGCGTTTGAAGGGCCCGCAGTGCTGGTGCTTCCAGCTCTTCCTCGTGGCACCGAGGCATACATGTATAGCTCTGTGCATCTCTCGGGCTTCAGAGCACAACCTGGTGCAGTAAAGGAATCTGGAGCAAAGCAGTTGGGTCCAAATCGAAGCCCAAATCGGAGTCCAACTCGGGCATTCAGTTTTCGCCATTCAAGTAAGCATCCATCTTACTCGGCGTTGGTTTGTTCCAGATCATATGTAGGTACCTACCTATCAGGATTGGAGCTATAAGAGCGTTTCCTCGCAACCGTTCAAGTTTCACCCAAACCAGGAACAGGTCGCTCATGTCAACGACATAGCGGTAGGTAGGTGAGGTACAGTTTCATCTGGATCCGATGATGTCACATCAGAATCATATCTGAGATCCAGTGTCTCTTTCATGAAACAAATGCTCTTCTTTCGCCGTTTGCTGGCGTTGACATTTGCTCGCTGCGATTGGGGGGGAAAACATCTTGAAGCGGTGTCAACAGGCAGAATGGCCAAAGGTACCTACCTCCATGTCTTAGAGGGGTATGGTATGTATCGTACACTAAAAAACCAGACTAGAGACTACTACTTGTTATGTAAGCGCAAAGACTCACAACAACCCAAAAAGTCTTGGAAGCCGCCGTCGAGTGACACGTCACATACCTTGGTTTTTGAACCTTGAAGAAAGCCTCACTGCAGTGTCGTCTGGAAGAGGTGAAGGTTCGAATGAAAGCGTGTCGTCGTCGACGACGCGTTGGCACCTCACTGAACTCAATTGAAGATTCCCAATCGTGGTGGTTTGTGGTTCGTGCGTCTGCCCCCTCCCCTACCCCCCCTCCCCCCTCCCCTCCCCCCTTTTTTCACTTTCCCTATCCCTTGGGAAACCGATCACTGAGCATCAGTATTTACACGTATCCCATAAGGAGTACACAATGCCATAATCGCGGTGAGACACCGTTAGTTGCGCTCGTCAGGTCGTCTATAAGATCACCCGTCCAACTAGCGGGCGATCTACTACATTGTAGTCAGGGACAGCAATTCGCACTGGATTCTTGTATCGGGATGGTATATGGTCTCCGTGCAACCGATATTGAGTTTCAGAGTAAAATGCATCTAAACCATGGCTATATGCAAGTAGGCCCCGCTAAACCTCCTTGGGTGTAGGCGGCTGTGGCGCCAAGGGTTTGTTCAACTGGTAGTACAAAACTAGTGTCAAAGTCCCTGTCCATGCACGAATCGCTGTCCCTGACTAGTAGATCGCCCGCTAGTTAGATGGGCGATCTTATAGACCTGACGAGGACACTAACTAACGGTGTCTCACTCGATCGCCGATTCACTTTGAACCTGACGAGTGATAGCACGTTATTTCAACCTCAACCAGCACAACACACTTCAATATCAATACCCACCGGTTCAGCGACCCACACCACAGATTGCACCCTTTGCGGTGCAATGTGATCGTGTCGTTCATTGCCAAGACGCAGATTTCGCTCGCAATTAGGCCAATGATAGGCTCACATTCCACTGCAGAATCTATTTTCCGATTGGCCAGAGGCTTCCATCCCTCAGGTCTTGGCACCATGGACAATCGTTTGCGCCAATCATCAGTGGATCCGAGTCTTCCCTTGTTTCTTTTTATTCCCGTGAGACAGCAACCGACATGAACCATACATAGGTGGTTGAAGATCACTCTGAATGAGTAGACTCCGTAAGAGACACACTAAACTTCGCTAGAGACTATCTTGATAATTACCTAGTCCCATGTGGCTTCCAGATCTCGATCTCTGAGGAGATCGACAGATATCTGGTAGTAGCCCCTCCAAAGCTAAACCTTCCAGCGCATTCATTACATACACCATCACCAACACTAACGACAACACTAACAACAACACCAACACCAACACTAATAACAACAACTGGATCACGAGCTTGACCGACACAACCACGTACTACTAGATCGCTACAGAATTGGTAACGGGAACATCAACATCCGGACCACTTGCTGGCCAGAACATTCTAGCTCTGATTCGACCAAGCCAAAGGGGGAAAAAAGGTCCATTAGTATCACCATCTAATAAAATAGTGTAATAGCTAGGGAGCAGTATAATCAGGATAGGCTAATTCACAGTTGACTTTACTGAAGACACTCTCCAACCGTGACATCTGACGGACGACTGCTAACTTTGAACCATGTATGACTGAATACAAACGGTTGATACCTGCTAGTTGATTGCTTTGGTACGGTTCATTTGATGGACATGTCAATTCAAAGACTCACAATAATGAAACACCAAGGCATTGCTCAAAATAATGTGATCAGAAAATAAATAAATGTTAAAAGTGATATCTAAAACTCCTACCAAAGCAAAACCAAAACGCCTCGCATATGTAGGTAGGTATGTAGGATCTCTAGGAGTGCAGACAAGTCCTGACCTTTTGAGTCCCATCCTTCAACCCACGAAGCAAGCGCCATGCCTCGCACCAATCAAACTCCTTAAACTCAACCCAACCGAAGCAAACCCAAGCCATCGGGTATCACTCCGTTTACCATCCCAATCCAGTCCCATCATCCAGTTCATATTAACGCCAACATCCCAGTAACCATCAGCACAGGCGTCGTCCAAAGCTGCAGCATTCCCGGCTCAAGCCAAGCGGGTAAATGCTTACAGTTGCTGAATGAAAGGTGAAAAATGAGGTGCCGCATCGGGCCCAAGAAGCAACAAAAGAAAAATTAGAAAATAGTGAAATAATGGTAAAGAAGCATTAAAAAAAAACCACCCATCCAAATGCCATAGATGAACAAAGGGAAAGCAAAAAGAAGGTCGAGATTGTAACAAGCATTGGTTGCCTAGGACCCTTTACGGCCCAGTGACCTGCAACTCAACAGGCGCCCTCTGCAGACCAAGGCCCGTATAGAGTACGGCTGTGTTGAGATCACCCATGGGAAAGGGCAATGCCTCGGCCAAAGTTTCCAGGTCGAGAGTTGATCCCACTAGATCCTTCACGGTGCCCAAACTACGCAATAAGCGAGTCGCTTCGACGGCACCGTGATGTTGCATGGATGCTAGTTGCAGTGAACCGATGGTGACAAGGTCAGCAGGCTCCGAGGTGAAGAACGGGAGGAAATCGGACTGAGTGTCTGATGTGGAAGACTCTCTCTCCGAAGCATCATGAGAGGTCAGTGTGCTGGATGTGAAACTGTCGCTTGGTCGGCGATTGCCACAGCTGTCAAATGTGGATGACAACGAGATGCTGGACTCGCGACGGGGTGCTGCCTGTCTGACTTCCAACTTCAACACGGGAGAAAGAGGTTGCGGGAAATAAGAACCATGGTTGTTGAACGGCATCGGCGGCGGCGGAACCAAATTAGAGTTCCCATGAGCACCAAAGGAAGCCTGAGACGGCATCATCACAGGGGATTCGGAAAGCTCCGGTTTAATGTCGTTGGCAATGGTGCTCAAGTGCTCGGGGTCGGGCGTGAGCGTCACCTGGTAGAGAACGGCCGCAAAGAGCATATGGGGGAGCAGCTCAGGCGGGTTGCCCAACGAGAAGCGAGTTTGGTAAGTACTCGTGAGAAAGATGATAGCCTCAGATGATCGTTGGCAGATATCGGAAGGGTTGGCATCATTTCGTAACCTGGGGGTTGTCATTGCACTGTCTCTCAAGCTTGCGGTGCTCTTTACGAAGGGGCGTAGAAGAGCGAGCAGGCAATAGTGATACCAGATCCTAAGAAAAAGTCAGATATGGCCCATCTAGAAGTGGAATGCAACGGGGGGTAACGAACTGTGCAAACAACAAGTCCGGCGTGGTATCCATATCAAGGCAAAATGTTTCTTCAAAACGCTTGTAGGCGTCCAGACACTTTCCATAAGCGTCTTCAAGCTCTTCCGCAGTTGCGGCATTCGAGAAATTGTACGACGCAAAAGTGTGCACAGCGGTCGTGATTTCAAACACAAACCGAGGAAGCGGCGGGCAGTGTTCTAGTTCAGCTAGGAACTGCATATGCAGCGCAAATCCTGAACCCAACATGGTCAATTATCATAACAGAAGTATGATGATTCTTGTATTAGGAGCTTACCTCGTTCAATGCGATTTTGTGGCTCATCTTCAGGTGTCTCTTCAGAACCCTGATATAGCCTCATGAAAAAGGGACTGTTATTCAGATCGAGACGACCGGTAAGAAGGCGTAGCATGCTGTAGGTAATCCATGTCAGGAACTTGCTGAGAGCCAAGAATATCAGAGACTAAACTCACTGAATTAACGTGAAACCGCCGCAATAAGACACTGCCCTGGCTGTTGCGAATTCTTGATCCACGTGAAAGCTTTGTTCACTAGTTATCGCTGCCCTCACGGATGCCCATGCCAAGTCCCAGGCTTCATCGTCTTTTCCTTCAGAGATCTCAGCAAGGGCAAGAACAGCCAAAGCCTGGGTGCTCGGAAGGTTCGTGTGGTTCGGTTCGGTTGCTAGCAGCCTCTTTGCTTCGCCAATGAAGGCATCTCCAAATGCCATTCTGGACACAATATTCGAGGCCGTACCGTAAGATTTGCAAGCCTTTCCCAAAATGGCGTTCACCAGGGCCTCGGAACAGTAGCGGGAATCGCCCTCACGAAACGCCTTCATGAAAGAAGATTGCGGGATGAAGCATAGTAAAGAGCATGGAGCCGAGAAGAATCTGGATAGAAGTCTCTGGACGAGCTGGGTGTCTGATGTTATACTGGTCCAAGTATGAGGCAAGGGCTCGTTGAAGATACCAGGGACAAGAGGTTGCGAAGAATGTCGCAGAGGAAGGGATGGAAGGGATGAGCTAGAAAACCTTCTAGAAGACGGATACATGGGCTGAGGGGCGTGAATGAAATCTGCTTGTTCCCTAAACGAGAAGGGGGTGGTAGGGGAGAGATCCGAGGAAAAGCTGCTCCGAGGAGTGGACTGGTCAAATGGGATCCGGCCCTGACCAAAGTTGTAGCTGCCAATGCCAGCAAAGCTAGCGGCTCTGTGCAGTTGTGATGACTCGGAAGCGGTGGGTTGAGACGGTGACAGCAATGTTGGTGGTGCACCCAAGCCTCCCATGCTCTGTGATGACGCCGCCTGGAGCGGCTCAAAAAGGTTCCGTATCGAGCGTATCCAGTCGGCAATAGCCTCGGGTGATTCGTCGCCCCGAATCCGTGATAGGAACGACTCCCAGTCCTGCTCGTCGTTGATGAGAGCCCGAATCACCGCATGTCCCTGCCGTTGCTCGTTTCGAAGTCTTTCAATTTCGGACCTGAGATGGTCCTTGGTACGCCATTTCTTGTCCTCGTATGCGCATTCCTCTCCACGAGACCTGCACCTGCGGCATGGCATCTGGCCATCACACTGAGGATTGCGTGTTAGTCCAAGTGTGCATGAGCATGGCTTGGGGCAACAGCTTCAAGGCATGATATTGGAAGCGAAGAGAGTGGCAGTGTGTGTGTTGATGAAGAAGTCGTCGATGTCTGGGAATGGGGATTGTTCAATTGATCTTTTGAGAGCATACCTTTGTCCTTTTCTTGCGGCATACTAGGCACGCGTTCGGTGTTAGGTGTTGTCTTGGCATGATGATAAGCTGAAATCGTTGTTGAGTCGTCTGAAGCAACCTGGAAGTCTGCGAGAGTTAAATATTAAACAGATATAAGACTGTTGTCAGCATCCTGCTGCATGATATCCCGAGTGTTTCTTCGGTTGCCGTGAAGAAGGAGCGGACGTCTTATGAACTAAGTAACGTCCGATATTGTGCATTCGGGTCAGAAGACGGCCGGTCTCTGAGATAGCGGGCAGCCCTCAAGCCAATCCAATAGCAGCTGGTCCCTGCACGTTGCAACTGAGAAGCTATGAGCAGACCAACAACCCCAGGTTCCCGATCTGGACGGCCGATGAATCTCGGACTGGGATCCATCCAGGCATTGCGTCCCAAGGTTGTCATGGTCTCGTAGGGATCCGGGATGTTAGAGCCCCTCATTTTTGCAGCTGTCTCAACAGATATGCAACGTTTTCTCGATCAAGGATGGCGGAAAAGGCTGCAGTCTCGCAAAGGCAAGACAGCGCATGAATGCCAGGTAGGGACGTTCAGGTACCATCTCATTGGAACAGAGAGCGAACGCAATCAAAGGATACCAAGCGGGTGGGGCAAGGAAGTGTAGTGTAGTGTAGCCATTGGGCTTTGGTCTGGCCAAGATCGCCTTCGACGGGATCTTCGAAGCCAAGGCCGGCCACGATTCTAGACAAGCAAGACAAGTATCTCCGAGATGAACAATCGAGGCGGAGGTTACACTACATACCCATGAGCACCCAATCTTGGTGTATGGAAGCCTCACGCTCGACCAGGTAGACTCGGGTTGAGGTGTAGCAGTTGACAGGTGGAGCAGGGTTGGCGAGGGCGAATCGTCACCTCCCTTTTGACAGTTGATGATGAATGATGACGATAGGAATGTCTAGCTCTTTTTGCTGTTGGCGCGGGGCTGTCTCCGCTCAACCGCCCCTTTTCTCGCGGGTGCGTCTTGGCAGGCAAGACTGACTGTGTTGGGCTAAGCACCGAGGTAATCCTCGTTCTCGCTTGTACCGTGGGGTCTTTTCTTTTTTTTTCATGGACAGTTTTGCGGTGATCGCAGGTGACCAATCCTACCAGGTGAATTGTTCGCTGCTCGACCCTACATTGACCATGACAAAGGGGTCGTTCGCATCAGTAATGAGCCCGGATTTCTCTCCATGGCTGAGAAGCAATGTTTTTTTTCTCTCTCTGAGTTCATCTAAGGTCTGTGAAGAGCATCAATAGAGGGGAGGACAGCATTTCGGTTGCTTAAGGAAATTTAGTCCGGTCTGAAGAAGCCGTCTGAGACCCAGAACCTAAAGTGTTTCGACAGTATGTCATCGCAGCCTCTGAATTAGCTGCGTAAAACGTCAGTAGGAGAAGGATGAAACAAGCAGCTGTGCACGGAGAACTAACACTTGGAAAAGCCCCAGAAGATGGGTTGGCGGTATCAGATCATGGCGCTATCCGATCATGGCGCATCTCCATTCCTGGTGGCGCCAGGTACACACTGGAGCCAGGAAGGCCCGGAGCCGCCAGCTACCTCTTGACACACTCACCCCCGGGGACACACCGCACCTCAGCCCAAAATACCTAGAAGGTCCCCACCCATGGGATCTGGATCAGCTAGACATGGATGTTCTCATTTCCCATCCCCTGTGAAGATCGAAGAAATGGATATCCCATCTGGGAAAGTTACCGCTGAGATGTAACTAATGGGTGTTGGCCTGCACCGGCAGCCTTTTGGACGGAGGGTCGAGTACGTCACACGTCGAATGCACGCTATGTTTCGTCTTATACGAGCTGGCGAGTCGTAATAGTGATGTTGGCCAGACGATGGCTTGAAACGTCCATGGCGACATGCCGGGCCCGTCACTTGTTCTCTCCTCATGAACGCAGGGATGGGACGATGGCGGAGTTGAAGAGCCAGCCCGTGTTCGCTGGTGAAGACCGTGGGAGATCCGGATAGGTAGGACCGTAGTGTAGTGGTGGTTGTGGTGTGGTGGTGGACGTCTGGCAGCGCTGAGTGGACAGGGGTACTGGCGTTGACAGGTGCGGCGCGCATGCATATGATGCAGGACAGAAGCGTGACCAGTCAATTTTGGGAAAGACGACTGCTGAATCCGTTCAGTGGAGATGGTGCCTGAGACGGCCTGGTTCAGTTCCGTGCGCGCGAGCAAGCTCAACGGTGGAACACTCCGACACGCAATGCTAACGAGCCAGTCGGCGTCTCGTTATGATGGTAGAATTACTCGTGGAGCACCATGCCGTTATAGTGACCGTTCAGCCCGAAAGAGGAGGGATCTGGAGAGCATTAGATCATGTGAAGAGACGGGTAACACTGATACTCAGGCACTCGTCCGCATTTGCGGTAGTCCGACAAGTTGATCAAGGCACACTCAGACACCCAGGTACGGGAAGTGCTCCCTACTAGTTTATTCCGGAAACGGTCGATCTTGAACAGGTAGCTAGTGCAAACAATTGCGAGCGAGCTGCTTGATGATTGAACTCCATGGCTGGCTGAGGTGGAAAGTAAACAAATGCAGCCCTGTTCTCAGGTGGCTCGCGGGAGGAACGAATGCGGTGCCCTTCTCGGACTTTGCGCGCAGACTGGTGAACCGATCGAATGTTGATCAGACCAGAGAGGAAGGGGGCCATTCTGAGGGCATCGACGATGCGAGCACACCCACAAATGCGCAAGAAAAAGACGGACGGATGGTGAAATCAAAAAAAGAAGTTACTTAGGTTGTGAACGCGAACGGGAAACCACGGCTGATATATTGACTGAGGTGGCGCTCTTGCCTAGAGGAAAAAAAATCCATGACGGCCCGCAGTCCATGTCCTGCCCAGGCACGGCAGTTCACGCCTGCCTTACGTCCTACATCGACGATGTACAAACATCATACATACTGTAGCGGTGGCGACGAGCTATGGAGCTTGAAATGAGGAGGAAGGGAAGGAGCAACACTGAAGAAGAGCGCACAATCGATGCGTGTGCACCACACAGCTGCAGTCAGGAATCGAAGCAAGCAAGGGACCGGACGCACGCCGGTTATCGGCCACCACCAAGAATGCCAACCGAATAGTCCGGAATCCGGGATGCTATGTTTTGGAGTATCGCAGTCGCGTTAGTCCTGAACCAATTGACGGCAGCACGGGCAGCAAGTGTCTGAGAGTGCCAACCAGCGCCACCGGTTTGCTAAACGGTATGTAAGTCATATAATACTTGCTGTATCCTAGTTCGAGTAACACCAAGATTTCGGCCCCAAGTGTTGTTGCTCGAACAAGGGGGGCTTGCTAGTACAGGGGTAGGGTGCACGAGTCGCACCACCATAGCATTAGATTCAGCAGTATCGTGCATAGATTTTCTTCTCCTCGCGCACCCAAGAGATGCACGATAACACAAATGCTAATTGATCTTTGCCATCAAGTAGACCCCGCTTTCTCTGTTCACTAAGCAAGTCCATCATTTGACTGAAGATTTCCCTACCTACCTCTATCCACTGCAGGGTTGACATCTGTAAATTGACGGTAGCTTACCTTGACAAAAAGAGGTGTTTAAAGGGTTATCATCGTAGTGTAATTTCATTATGGGGGCGTTGCGTTTAGATATGGATAGACAGGGTTGCTCGTGCAGGGGTTTTTGCTGTATCGATAATCGCTTTGATGAATGCCCCCTAACCCTGTAGCCAGCCAGAGAGGGTCAGCGGGGGCGTCTGTTCAAGGTATACCGGCCGGCAACCGACAGTGGAGGCTTGGCAGTTCCAAAAATCGGCCGTGGTCAGCGCTCCCGTCACTGCCGCCGTCGCCGTGATACCTGGAACCGCTCCGCCTGCTGCCTGCCGGACTCGCCGACCGACTGACCGGCCGACCGACCGACTGACCGATTGATCTCAAGACCATCCGAGTGTCGCGTACGCGCCCGGCCTCTTCCCGTCATTTGCAGCCACCCCCCATCACCACCAAAGTCCTCCTCATTCACACCCAACATGCAGCCGACAAGGGTTTTTTTCAAGAGATCCGTGTGGAAGGGTATGTTATTTTGTCCTTGTCTCCTCCTAAGCTTCACCTTGCGATACTGTACTCTTTGCGCCGTCCAAGACAGTCAAGCTAACCTGTACCGCCGACTCCAGGTCCGCACATTGTCCCGTAAGCTCTACTACCCCTCCCCCTCGTTTTTATCCCCGCGATCTCGACGACGACGACGACAATTCAATGTGCCGGCGCACTCCGGTGCACTCCAGAGGACTCTCTCCCCTTCCTACTCCCGATCAACGCGACCGGCGCATTCCCACCATTCTCTACGAGCCCATCCCGCGACATTCTCTCCATCCGCGAACCGACGCAGTCCAACCCAATCCAACCGCAAACCCGCAACCGTACCTACCTACCTTGCGCGCAAACGGACACTACTAACCACCAACTCATACACACAAAACAGTCTCCCCATCCAGCGCCCTGAGCCCGGCAAGAAGATCGCTCCCATCCGCACCCAGGCCCGGTCCGCCACCATCCTGCCCAACTTTGTCGGCCTCAAATTCCAGGTACACAACGGCAAGGACTACATTGACTTGACTGTCACCGAGGAGATGGTGGGGCACAAGCTTGGAGAGTTTTCTGCGTAAGCGCTCTTTTTTTTTTTTTTTTTCCCCTACTTTCACTAGTCTACTTTTCCCTTTCTTTTTCTTCATTGATTATTATTTCTTCATTTCAATATATTATTTTTTTAAAGGGTCTTTTTCTTTTTTTTTTCTTTCTTGGAGGGGCGGCGGAAATGCCATAAATGTTGGCGGTGTGAGAAAAGAAAAAAAAAAACCAAAGAAATTTCGTATACAAAATTCAATGGTCTGACACGGCATTCCCATGGCATTGGCTGGTGGCAAGCCATGAATGGCTGGACGGGCGACATGTGTTGGACGCCACGGGATGATGATCGTAGACGGTGGTGTGGTCAGAAAACAAACAACACAAAAGACACATTGGGCATATGGACATGAACAATTGGACACTAACTGAATGGTTCAAAACCTCAAACAGTACACGCAAGCCCTTCATCTGGGGTAAGAAGAAATAGACAAACCAACTTCTTCGTCTCTTCAGTGATGAAGAAGAAGAAAAGAGAAGAAGAAGTCGATTGATTGATGGATGCGGGTTTGACACGTTTTTCTGTGGGCGGCGTTTATTTCGGCAAAAAACAAAAAAGCATATTTTCGTTGCTTATCTGTATCATACCATACCATTGTCAGAGGAGGGCACAGGTTTCTGTACACATATCATATTTTGGGCAAATTAGAACTTTCGCTTGGATTATACTACTGCTGTGTCTGTTGTTTCAAGATGAACATGTATATGTTGTGGGTGTAGTTTAATTATGCTTTGTAATTGATAAAAAAATGCTAGTATCGCCAGGTATTATTATTTTTAGCCTAGACTAGTAGTCATAACGGGTTAACAGAGCAAACAGGACGATGGCAATCTTCCATAACGGCGCCTCCTGAACGCCAAGCGCAAAAAAAAAAAAAAGAAAAAGAAAAAGAAAAAGAAAAGAAGACCCGATGACCCCAAACCCCTTTTGCACCGTTCCCGTGTTGGACCCTTGATTGCCGACCCTTTGCCCATCCATCCATCGATGCATCATCCTCTTGATATCCTCCTCCTTAAGCAGATAACCACCTGTTGCCCCGTTAAGATAGTATCATCCTTCGGTCTGCCATGCCACCATTCCTCACACTCAGGCAAACCACCCACCGTCCCCTCCCCCTCCCTTCTCGCCAGTAGAGCAGACAGTCCTGCACCGTGACCGTGACTGCCCCCCTAGCGATAAAATTCACTCCTCTTCACATTAACCCCAAACTCCCCTGCCGCCATACCCAAATCCTCCATCGTCAGCACCGTCCTATTCTGGCTGCCACCCTGTCCACCACCACCATACCCCGGCCTCTGGATACCCAGCGGTCCACCTCTGCCCTGATCCTTCGCCCCCGCCGCCTGATTGGTCGGTTGTCCAGGAATAGGGAACCCCGCCGCGGCGCCCAGACTGCCCATGGGGTTGTTCGCGTTGGTGTTGGATGCCCTAATGCGGGAATACTGGTAGGCGTCGGCGGCGATGTCGGCAATAAACTTTTGTGTTGCCAAGGCGAGCAGACGGGCTAGACGTTGATCGGTTTGTGGCGGGGGAGGAAGGCCGGCGCGAGTCATGTAGTAGGATGTTACTGCATCTGGTATCTGTTGTACAACGAGTTCGAGAGTTAGCAAGTTATGATATAGGATATTAGGTAATGGATGAATGAAGATCAAGGGAAGAAGGGAAGGGAGGGGGGCAGGAGGGGGAGGAGGATGAGGAGTGGGCTAAGTCGATGACGTACGATAGGCGCGTATTCATCCATCTTGGACAGAAGCTCCTTGAGAGAGACGTCCTTGCGCGTGGGAAGCTTGGGTTCCGGTAGCGAGGGGATGTCCATGTTTGGTCGTTCATCGTCGTTAGCGGCGGCGGGCGCTGTGGTGGTGGTGGTGTTGTTGGCTGTCGCGTCACCTCCTGCTGCTGCTACTGCTGTTGTTGCGCTGTCGGCCGCGGCTTGCTCCTCCGTTGTCGCGGCATCGGCTGCTGCTGGCGCCGCGGCGGCAGCGGGTGCTGTTGCTCCAGCCGGTGGCTGTGAGGGAAGGCCGTTGCCTTGTGGTGGGGGAATTGTTGACATGATTTCTGATGAACGCTCAGCCTCTTTAGATGAAGGCTTCAGGAAATCAGGTTCGCGAAAAGCGACAATGTTGGATTGGTAGTTGCAGGTTCCGACGGGAGACGTGATCGGTTCCAGGGCGGGCCGCCACTGACGCGTGGATCACGTGACTGATTATACCGATATGGAGACAAAGAAGCACGAAAATGCGTAGGAATTCTGGTGGAAATGGAAGTTTCAAAGAACCAGAAGGTCTCAATCCCAGTTGTTCGAAAGTACGACTGAAATGGATGGTGCTTTGTTGAGAAGGTTGGAAAGAATGGGATGATGTTGCAGGTTGGAGGTTGGAAGTTCCCCTGGGCGGCTCTTATACAAGGGAGCTCGGGCCACTCGCATGGTTGATGGTATGGTGACTGGTGTAAGAACATCTACACATGTGCTTGACTCAACCTCAAATGAGTGGTTTGACGGCTTTGAATTTTTTTGTGTTATTCTTATCTACTGTAACACAACCATCTCAAACATGATGTAGACCATCGTATACCTAGTTTCTCAAGTTCGCGGCACATTTCTATGTTGATATGGCTCGTAGTTTCACGCTTAACCTCGAGATTCGATTCCTTTACAACATCCCAAACCTTAATACAGAACACAAATCAACCTGCTCCAAGATATCCGAAGCAAGTATACCTATACTATAACTTCATCCATATCAACCTAATTACCTTCGACGACTGCGACTTGCGGGCATCGACTCAAACGCATCATCGTCATCCGAGATTTCATCATCACTGATCTCAATCGTCTGCTGCTGTGAGCCCTTTGCCCTCTGAGACTGTGAAAAGTTAAGTGTTGTCTGCTTCATCCCAGCCGCCGCGCGAGTAGTCCGGGTTTGGGTGGCCTTCGCAGGCGCAGCCCGAGCTTGTGTGGCTCGAGCTGGTGTGACTCGAACAGGAGTAGCACGAGCAGAGGCACGGGTAGATGCGGCCCTTGATGTGGCCTTGGGCTTCGGTGGTGGCGCTGGCGGGTCTTCTTCGTCATCCTCCATGATCACGTCTTCCTCCTCCTCATCCTCCTCCTCCGCCTCCTCTTCGTCGTCATCCTCTGGGTAGTCCTCTTCCTCTTCTTCATCGCTATCTACAAACGGAGTTTTCTTCTTGCGTCCCCTTGCAGGTGCCTTCTTGGCTGGTGCAGCCTTTTTTGCCGGTGCGGCCTTCTTGGCAGGTGCTGCTTTCTTGGCCGCTGCTCCCCGTTTTGGCGCCGCTCTAATCGGAACGGGTTGGTTGTCTATGTCCATATCCTCATCTTCGTCGCTGAAAGTGACGCCAGACGTAGGCACTCTCTTGGTCGGTCTATCGTTTCCTTTCGGTTCGACTTCGGCTGGAATGTCTTCGAGCGCTTGTGGCTGGTTGATCCAGTGGCCGTCCAAATCGGAATCCCAGCCGTCGGGCTTCCGCTTGAATCGCTTTGTGCGCTGGGCTTGCTTGTGCTGACCAGAGTCGAAGCTCTTCTCCATAACCTGTCTAAAATCTTGAATATGCGCGTCAAGATCGACAATCTTGTCATCGTCGAGCTGAAGGAGCTCCTTCACTTGGGTGGAGAGTGACTCGATGACGAACATTTCGACAGCGTGCTTATCGTCCTTACTAACGAACTGGTTGACCGCATCGCTGAATGGTGCTTGCGGCAAGATCTTGAGGGACTGTTGGGCAAAGAACTCTTGAACCAAGTTGTCGACCTTGATGCTATCGGCTGACTCAAGTATCTCAGCGATGCCCTCACGCACGCCTGGCCCAGTTGCAGCGTTCTCTGTATATAGTCAGTGTCATACTGTTGTTGATCACACAATTCTCTCAACTTACTTGTTCCTTTGGTATTACAGTGAAAGCGGACAACATCATTATGGTTGGCAACTTTTCCCGTAAATCTATTGGAGAATCGATGCGGGTTCTCGACTTCGTACTTGGCCCCATCCGGTGCTGTGTAATCGACCTTCAGGCGTACAAGCGGCAAAGGTGGCTCCATATCCTCGTCCATGTCGTCGTCCTCTGCGTGAACAGCGCGCCACTCCGCATTGGCTTCTTCAATCATTTCATTAACAATCACCATCAGTCGCTTGGTAATCTCATGACGGTTGTTCTGTTTGTCCAGGCCCTTGAAGCGCTTATCTGAGGCTAGAACAATCTCTCTTGTGACAAAAGGGCGGACTGTCTTGAGGGGGATCTTCTCGACTTCGAACTTCTTGCCGGTGATGTTGAGAATGGCGACATGCTTTGGGACTGCTTCGCCTGGAACTAGTGATGTGGCCACTGAGGACCCCGGTTGCATGACGTGGAATCCGGTCTCTGGATTTCGTACGGGATCGATAAGACACTCGTGTTCATGGCCCCAGATGACCAAGTCCATGAAATCGGGAAGCATATTCTCGGCAACATAGCTGGTACGGGTGTGTGCGTAATGGTTCTGGTGAAGAGCCAAAAGATTGAACCAGTCGTTTTTCTGCTGGTTCGGGCGGTAGAACCTTACTTTGTTGTCTCTAAAAGTCCTGTGCATGCGCTCATCACGAACGTTGCTCAATCCGTACAAAGCCATCTTCGTCCTTCCCTTCTGCAACAAGATGGGCTTGACATGAATATTGTCTGCCTCGGGTACACGACCAAAATAGTTGACGAGACCGGCGGCTTGGAGTAGGTCAAGGGAGCAGTAGTGGCCATCGCCGCTCGGGTCGTCGTGGTTGCCGTGGATAGAGAAGACGGGAATAGCGATATTGATGTCGGGATCCTCGTAGTTGACAAAGGGAAAGGCTCCTTCAAAGACTTCGGCAGCGTCACTGAGAAACTCGAGTTCGCATGGCTTCATGCCGAGGCAGTGTTTGCGAAGAGAGCGCATGACCTGGTACATGGATTTGCGCGAGGGTTTGTTCTCATGGAAGAGATCACCACCCAGCAGGACCATGTCGACGTCCTGCTTCTTTGCTATTTGCATAATCTCGTCAAAGGTGCGCCAACTGTCATCCTTGCGGACGGGGTGGCGCTCTGCGTAACCGACATGGTTATCGGTTGAGACGAGGATGCGGATCGTGTCCGCCTCTGGTCGTCTGTTAGCAAACGTGTGGCAAGAGACTTCGTTCTCCCTCATGGGCATAAACCTTACCTGATCTCGGCATCTTTGCGGATCCTATTTTCTTTCACTAGCTTTTCATACCAGACCAACTGGTCAATCGACGACTTTGAAATTAGGAAGCGCGGATGGGAGACGAGCGGGTCGCGCGTTGGTTGACGCGTTGACTTTCACGAGGTCACATGGAAGCAGGCAGGATTTCTTGGATAATGAGCTCGATCTGGGTACAAGGTCTGTGCGTTTCTGTCTATCAGCACATGGCTGTCCTAGAGCATTATGCCAGGGACAAACTTCACTAAATGGCAACTGCCCTTTCTATTCTATTCTACACAGTGGTACTAGTAGTGCTTGCCCGGCAAAACAACTGAACCATAACAATTTCCAGCGCAAACAGCAAACGAACGGAACTTGCCTCAACTTTTCCAAGACATTGCGCCAGGCAACTGCAAAGGGAGAACCTGGAGGCGGAAAACTTCCACTTCAATAAAATGGACGAAACACCGCCAACCAACCTGGCGGACCTGGTCGACGTCACAAGAGGTCCTCGTCGTGCCCGGCAACGACTGCGATTCGAGCAGCCCCAGCAGACCCCCCAACGGACGACTCGATCATCACAGGCTGCGGCTCTTGAAGAAGCCCGGCGAGCTGCCATGCGATCAGTTGGTTCTGGATTTACACCTGAGCCACAACCTTCTTCAACATCTACACCTGTCCATCCAAGGGAACAGTCTTCCGCAATGCCTCGTAAGTTGTTATATAGATTCATTCAATATCTTCTAGTCCCATGGTATTTCGCCCAGTCCAAGGGGCCTTGGTCTTTGTTTACTTTCGAAGGCCCTTGTGTCCATTTCCCCTTTTTGGAGCCCCACCTCGCTTCACTTAGACGCTGGCCCGTCCTTGCACTATCACTCACACGACCTCAACCGTGGTTCATGTTGCCTTTATACTTTCAGAAGGCCAATTCTTCATGCCTGAATGTCTTTCTCTACTTTGACACGACTTCGCCTGTTGAGCTCTTCCACCCTTTCATCCCATCTCAGCAGCTGCTCGCTGTGCGATTGGTCCCATCTGTTACCGCCGCTATGGCTTGCAGTATGGGCCATCCTTTGGGATGAATTCGCGATATCTCCAACCACCTTCACATCAACCTTCATGCATGTAATATTCACCTCCAAACCTGACAAGAACCTTGATTTCACTTTGCCCTCTTCTTTTCTCCTTCTGAGCAGTGCCTCCAGGTTTACTACCCCTCCAATGTTTTTCCATTCACCAAATCCCACCTCCTCCCCTCCAACCCCTCCCTTCTCTCCTTGACTCTTCCTTCGTCACCTTCATCATCTCGAATCAACTACCGCTTTTTTGTCTTCCTAAATATCATCTCTTCTCTTATCTTTCTCTCATCAATCTGACCTCCAACTCCTCCTCGTCAACTATTTTATTACTCGGCCAACTTTCACCTGCTTTTCCTTCTTCACGTCTTGGCATAATCACTTCGCTATCACATTCGCAATGCCTTCATCTTCGCCATACCACCACACGCGCAAGCGGCGACGAGTGTTGGGCGAGCTTGCTGGACAAGATCTGAACTCTCCCAGACCTCTTACCAAACGCGCTCCCATTACCCTAGACCAAGAAAACGTCGACGAGGTTCACGAAGGCCTCTACTACGGCATCTACGATATTGGGGAAATATTTGCAGTCACTAACGGTACCTGGGCTGCTCCAGCACAATCCGCGCAAGCTCAGCGCTTACAGGAAGAACAGTCTGACGACGAGGACTTCCCTAGTCCTGTGGGTGACGGTCCGGCGAGTGACATTGAGCTCCAAGACGAGGATCATAATGACAACAACAATGACCTTGAGGGCGAGGACTTTCACGAGGGCTTGGACGAGGGTATGCAGGAGGCCTATGACCATCAAGAGGACGAGCACAACGGCGTCGACGAACACGGAGACGAATACGGATTTGACGAGGACGGCAACAGAATCGAGCCTGACGAAGATCACGAGGAAACCGAGCAGCTCCAACACTCAATGTTCGATCCTTCCGCCATTGGCCTCCGAGAGATCAACAATCTCGCCCACTTCGGCGTCTCCAGCCACAAGCCTGGCAATGGCGTCGAGGAGCTCCTCACAGAGGACCTCGACAAATACTGGCAGTCAGTGACCCCTCTGCTTATGTTTCTCCTTCCTAACTTACGTTTTGTCTCAGATCCGACGGCCAACAACCACATCTCCTTACCATTCACTTCCTCCGCCGCGTCGAGATCCGGGCCATCAGATTCTACGTCGACTACAACCTAGACGAATCCTACACGCCCACTAACATCGTCTGGTACGCCGGCACCGGGCACCACGACCTCATCGAGTTCGCAGATGTCAAACTCACTAACCCCGTGGGCTGGCAAGACGTGCCCATCGCCAACTGCGGCGGCGGTCCCGACGGCCACTCGCTCTGCTGCTGGATTGTCCAGGCCCACATCAAAGAGAATCACCAAAACGGCAAGGACACGCATATTCGCGGCATCAAGATTTTTGCTATTGACGAGAACACGGTCGGCGGTGCGGTGGCCGCTGGAGGCGATGCGATCCATGAGATGGGAGTGAGGATTGATGAAGAGGCTGAGCGAATCGAGGCTGCGGCTTTGGCAAACAACAACACAGAAGAAAACGACTACGACGAAGCGAGTCTATTGGAGTTGCTGCGGCATATTGACCGTGAAGCTGAATCGGCGGAGGCGGGAAGCAGGAGCAGGTATCGGCCTGGTGAGGGAGGGTTTTCGGATCTTCCTGATTTTATGCGGGATCCGGTGATTCGCTGAGCAGGGACGGGCCAGAGACCCTTCGTTTTGGTTCGGAGTGGATTGTGGTTTTTGCACAGCAAGGCGTTTAGTATGGAAATATCTTGGCTGGAAAGGCGGCTTGTAGCTTCGGCTCATCGAAACGGTGAAGTGTTTTTGGTCGAGCTTTGTTTCGGTTATTGGCGGCATTTCATATTGACCCCTTGCATAAAGCTTGGAGTTGGGAGGCGTCTAAAGGCATACGGCATTGGAGTTATGGTATGGAGCCTGGTGTCAGAGTGCATCGATGGTGTCTGGAAAAAGGGCTCAAGTGAGAAGAGGCGTCAAGAGGCACAGGTCCATTTCGATCGAAATGGCTCCCGCAAGGAACCCTCGTGATGTAGACGGGAGAACAAAAGCAGACCTAAACTAGAACGAAACAGGGTTGTTATTAGAATTCCCATCCTATGATCATACTGTCCCCAGTAGAGGGAGGAAACCAGCAAACATGACTGTGAGAAAGACCTTTTTTGAATACTTCAAGTCCTCGATAAATATACTTGCTTCAATAATGGGAAATGATGACGAAGTCATAAGCCAACGGACAGAGCACATCTAGCACATACGACTATAGATGGTAGAAAACTCGGGATCCCGTCCGCTCTCCCATAGATAAGCTACCAATCGGATTCTTGTTAGGAAGAGCGAAAACGTTGTAGGGATAGCGATGACTAAGTGAGACTAGACCGTTTTTGAAATTGTTATGATAGGCGACGGAAATTTAATTCGCTTTATTAATATGGAAGGGTCTATTTAGAACTCTAAATCTAAATAGCGATTGGTTATTTATATAAAATATAATAATATTGTGGTTATTTGGAAGTAATTAATTTTTTGAAATTTAATTAACTTCTTAGAATACTACTCTTATATCTATTATAATAAATTGGATTTGAATATTTATTACCTAATTATAAGACTTTAATATTTAAAATAGTTCTAATTAAGAATTATTTATATTAAGGATCGTTCTAGCTCAAAATTATTTTAATATAGAATTATATTAGCTTAGGATCATTCTAGCTTAGGATTATTCTAGTTTAAAATTATTTTAATTCTTCGGATCATTCTAGCTCTAGATTATTTTAGCTTAGGATTATTCTAACTCTAAATCGTTTTAACTTAGGATCGTTCTAACTTAGGATCGTTCTAGCTTAGAATTATTCTAGCTTAAAATTATTTTAATATAGAATTATATTAGCTTAGGATCATTCAACTTAGAATCGTTTTAATTTAGGATCCTTCTAGCTTAGGATTGTTCTAATTTAGGATTATTTTAATTTAGGATTATTTTAGCTTCTAACTTAGGATTATTTTAATTTAGGATTGTTCTAGCTTAGGATTATTTCAGCTTAAAATTATTCTAATTTAAGATTATTCTAATTGAGGATTATTCTAATTTTTTAAATCGTTATTATTTAGGATTGTTCTAACTTATTTTAGATTAATATATACCATATTAATAAATCTAATAGCGCTAAGCTTTAGTACGCTTTTAATTCTATATTCTATTAGTATTATATTTTCTATTTTATAAATTTTAAAATATTTAATAAATATAAAAAAGGCCTAAATTCCATTATTTATAGTAAATTCTACAAATACCTTACTAATTTCGAATTTAGTAATATCTTAACTAGTAATTATTTTATTCGTAATTAAATATTTATCAATATATAGAAGAGTCCGAATAGAATAAACGGTAGGATTTTCTTCATTAATTATATTAATTCACGAAGCTATTTCTCTATAATACTTTTAAATCTTCTTAGGCTTCCTTAAAAATCTCCCTTATCCAATTATATAATTCCTCGTTTTCTTTTTTTTACTTCCTACTATTTGGAAATACTATTTTCCATAATTCGTTAACCTAAAATATTAGCGGCCGGTAGTAGGGCGTAAAGTACAAATTTAATAAAATCTTTTTTATTATCTACTTTCGCTTTTTTTAAATCTATTAATATCATTAGGCGGATATAATTCTAGTAATTAAATTCGTTAATAATCCTACTTTCGTTTAGCTTTCGTAGTAGACGTAGATTTAGAATAGGATAAAAAAAATAATTTGAAATTATATATAAAGGAATATTATTCGCTTAAAAGAACCCTAATTATTATAAACGTCCTAATACCGGTTATACTCTTTATTTTGGAGGTACTTTTATATTTATTTATTGAATAATTATATAAAGAATATTTATAATAA